TCAAATTTCAATAATAATTCAAAAATGTGAAAGACATAAATATACACTTCTCTTATCTACTCTATTAATATCAGTTTTCTAGTTCTTCGATGTCAGATAGTTCCTAAGTTAACAACCGATAAAATAAATAATTACAAATACAAATGTGCTCTACAATGATAAATGTATTGTAAATATATCTAAAAATAAACTTTCCATTATTTGTATCGAAACATTCTAGACATTCATTCAAAGTTCAAAAGCCTTAACCCTTTGACACAGAATTTTTCATTAAAAATTTTTTTCAGAATTTTTTCATTATTTTGTATTAATTTAGGTCAAAATAAATAAGAAATATTATATTTAACATTTTAATAATTTATGGTTAAGAAATGCAGCTTAGTGTCTTTTTCTAGGTAAAGGTAAATCCTAGAAACTAGGACGACTTCCGAACAATAAATTTCTTTTTAAATTTGCAATTATTTAGATCTAAGAGAAATAGTTATTCATCATTGAAGCTTTGTTAATTCACAAAATCAATTATTGATAAATTTTTGAATATGAAAACTACTTTTTTTTAAAAGAGAAGCGATAAAACAATAACAATAAAACTGAAATAAAAAACTACTCTTTTTTTGAATTTCGGCTTCTAATGCAGACATAATTCCGATAATCTAACAGATTTTCTTTAGTAACTATTAAACATTTTTATAACTAAAAAATACCAAAAAATATTTAAGCTTCTAGTTGGAACTTCAGAAAAAAATATATAAAAGGGACACCTGTGTTTCATTTGCGTCAAAGAGTTGAAACATCTAACATTTAGATAAAATGATGAAATTTATACAAAGAAATTTATGCAATTTAATATAGATAAAAAATTATTAATTTGTTTTAGATGATGGCGATTAAATAAAGGAAAGTATTTATCTAGAGTTATTTAACAATCGCTTATCTCTGTCTGCTTTTTAAGGTCTTTCTTTCTTTTATTTTTGTTTCTACTTTAAGGTAAAAAATTTTAAATATGCTTTGGCTCGAAATAATGATAGTAATTAACTGAAATTTTACTCCGATTGCCATAAAATAATTATCAATGTTCTTCAGGACCAGCAATGGGTGCATAGGAATAGTTTTTTTTTCCCTTCGGTTTCATATTTTGGTCTGTATTTTTGTCAAAAAATAGTTCAGTTCATCATAATTTTTATAAAAGATATCAATAAGATAATTTTTTTATTGAAAAAATTTAATTAATTAACTTTTATTTAATTAAATTTTTTAAAAAAAAATGTTTAAATGGATCAGTGAAAATGTATACGGGATATAAATATGATATTCTTAATTTTTACCGCCATTTTTAATAACTTTAATTCAATTTTTCCAAATAAACTGATGATGAACATTTTTCCTTCTCAATTGTACCTTTGGAATTTTGTAAAATACAAAGTACCTAATAAAGATGGAAAAAAATATAGGTAATAGATTTTTAATTGACTTTTCCTGCAAAAACTATGCTAAAAGAATCATGCAAAGCAGCATTTATAGTAAAAGAATTTTGCATTGTACTTTTTTCTCAATGCAGCTAAAGGTGCCGCGTTAAATTATTTACCCTGAATTGAAAACCGCATATTTTTATTGCTTGTAATTCTAAGTGTAAGTGCCGTTTCTCCTAATCTAATAAAGAGAAGCATCATTTTTTTCCCTTCAGTTTTTCTTTTTTTAATTGAAAGGTATTCTGCCAATGATACGAAGTACAAAGATAGTGGTATTCTGTCAAAGTTTAAGAACAAGAAGAAAAAAAAAGGAAAAAGAAAGAAAAAAAACAACCCTGTAAATGAAAATAAAAAAAATATTAAATACATAACTTTTAAGATCTAAGACGCGGAAGTAAGTGGTTTCTTAATAATCAAAAGTTAAAAAACAAAAGGAATAAGTAAGTTCTAGAATTTAGAATTTTCCGCCTGCCTCTCAAAGTTTACTGGTGTATACATAAAAACCTTTTAAGCCTTTTTCTCGAAACTCTATTTTTCATGTCGATAGAAAACATAACTCTTTCAAACTTTCAAATGGTAGGGATCTGTTGTGAATGGAAAGTTGTGAATGGTAAGGGATCTTCCACAAATGATATTTTGTATTATTAACTAAGAGTTATTAAAAATGACATCGGCATCATGCAGAACCATCCCCTACTAAAGTTTGCTTTATTTCATTATATCTACACATTTTGCGGTCCATAACATAACATAACATAACATAACATAACATAACATAATATAATATAATATACTTAGTAAATATTTTAGGAACAGAAATATAATATTAAAATTTTTTTACATAATAGTAAATATTTAACAAATGAAAATATAATAATAAATTTTTTTAATATAATATTAGTCATCCAACAAGCAAAAATATAATATTAATCATTTATTTATTTTTGTATTTAGTTTACGCTTTATTGTTTTAATTATTGTAATAAAGTTATGTAAAATTAAATATCGTTGTTAATGTAATATAAATATAATGTACTGTTTCAAGATAATGTAAAACTAGAGAGATACAAATATTTTAAAAGAAAGTTATTTGACTACTTATTGAAATGAAACTTTTTTTATAAGAAGAAATGATAAGCAATCTTGTTGTTAGGTAAAAATGTAATTTGTTACTTCTTCATTTAAAAAAATCATTAGAATCATTAATTTTTAAACGCAATTTTAAATGATTGATGAATATTATTATCCCTTCCTACATGTACCAAGTATCGAAAGAAAAGAGTTGCTCTCTGAAAAAAGAGTTTAATGCTATTATTTCATTTCAGTGGAATGAAATTAACTGTATGAAATATTTTGTTAGGGGGACCGGAAAGTAATGTCGTTATGCAGAGAAAAAAGGAATCTATCCTTTGCGCTTCAGTTGTAATTGTTTTTTTTCCTTCCTAATTGTTTGTTTTTCCTAGTTGTAATTGTTTTTTCAGTTGTAATTGCTTTTTTCCCCTATTTTATTAGGGGGGCCGGAAAGTAATGCCGCTTCGGCTCGTTAAATATTCGTCAATCTTAAGAACCAATTCATTTTTTTCGATCCATTTCGATTCATTTTCGATGCGGCATTGAAAGGTTGTTGCTAATGAGGGTGAATAAATTATTGATTAAAAGTAAAATCTTGATAACAAATATCAAATGCACCAAAACGACATTACTTTCCGGTCCCCCTAATAAATTAGGGAACAAAAAAAAAAAATTGCAACTGAAAAAACAATTACAACTTGAAAAAACAAACAATTAGGAAAAAAACAACAACTGAACTACCAAGGATAGATTCCTGTTTTCTTTGCATAAAAAATACTAACCTCATTTTTACACTACAGATTATTAGTTTCTCACGCATCGCTGAAGCGTTGGTGGTATAACGGTTAGCATAGCTGCCTTCCAAGCAGTTGACCCGGGTTCGACTCCCGGCCAACGCATGTTTTCTTTTTTCAAATTTTTTTACTGCAGAAGTTTTATTATATTATCAAAATTTTTCAGAAGAGAAACGCTAAGAATTCCAAAATTTGTGCACTTTTTATATTTTATTTTAGAAACAACATGCACAATATGCAATCTGCCTTTTACTCTAAGTAACCATTTTCAAAATGAATAAAAAAGTTTCTTAAGCACGTAGTACGTAAAAAAGTTACAGTACGTAAAAATTAAATACACAAGTGGGCGACCTTTGTGCTAAAATACAAAACTAAGGCAAACAACGTTAAAGAGCACAAAAATATTTACAAAAAAAAAAATTATAAAATTGGCATTTATAAAATTTTTATAAATATTTTTGCGCTCTTTAACGCTGTTTGCCTTAGTTTTGTTTTACGTAAAAATAACTTTACAATGCTGAAAATATTTTGCAATTTATAAGAAACTACGAAATTGGCTAAAAAATGGAATTCTGTCTAAAGACAAGGAAGGTTGGACGCCGTTCTTTTTATGAGAAAGAAAAAGTTAGGGGAGTAAAATGTTTTAAAAATATTTTACAATATCCTAGCATTTCTTAAATATTCTCTGTCGAGAAGGACATCAGAAGTTGCAGGTTAAAAAAACAAATTCATTAAAAGTGGTTTAGAATTTAAAACTGGGTTCATGTAAACGAGAATAAATATTTTTTCCTCGTGTTTAAATAAGCCATTTTTTTTTATTCAAAAAAATTTTGAACATGGGCGTAAATTAGGTTCTGCCAAGTTCGTGTTATAAAAGTAGTAACTACATTTCGAAAGCTGTTCTTAGTCATTACATTTTTGAAAAAAAGTAGTTGTATTTAACTACAAAAATAATGCAGTTTTTCTAACAACTAATTATAAGTATTACTAGAGTCGATTTGATAAATTTAAGTCATCATTATGACCATCTCTTTTTATGTCCAGTTGCACTAAAGGCCTTCTTAATCATCATCAACTAATAAATTTCAGGAGCATTTATGGGAAGTGTCCCAAATTTGAGACTGTTGCCTCCACGTGCNCAATTAATTACAAATTAATTGGATTATGAGACAATTACAATAACTAATAGTCTGCATTGAAGTAATAAAATATCAATTTTTCTATATGTTGAAATATTTTTTATCTCTCACAGGACCTTCTATGGGCAGAATGTTGCCCCCTAAAATTATTCCTCATAAGGCATACCTCCCACTAGTTTATTTCAAAATTGGCGAGTCACACTTCCCTCGTTTCCCTTGTAAGCTTTTCTTTATCTTAACCCCCGAAATCTAACTAGGCCACAACTGTTAAAGAAATTTTTAAAATATTTCATTTCCATAACGTTTCCTCTTCTCGTTTTAGAAATCTTTATTATATTTTTTCCACGTTTTCTCTATATTTTTAACTTATATATGTATATATACACACACGGTGTATTAATATACCGCACTATAATAGTTAATTAAGGTAATTTTCGGGACGCATATTAAAATTGAGAGAATAGTAACAATAACAGGAAGTTTTATCTAAATATGAAATCATATCAATGCTATCATCAAAATTAGTTCTTTTTTTGTCGACAGTTCTTTTTCAGCTATTCAAACAACGATGTTATCAAAATTATCTCTCCGAATTTTTCCTCTAGATTTAAGTAGATATTAACTCATCCAGCGATTAGTGTTCGCCTGTAGTGCTGTATTTTAACAGCAATGATTCGTACAGCCAAATATTTATTTGTAGGTTTCATACATTATGCGATTATTTTAATAATTTTTAAATTTTCTAGCTTAATTATTCCTCATTCTTTTTGCTGTTGCTTTACGAATTTTTTATATTTGTTTGTATGTCTGATTATTGGATTTTTTTCTTTCGAATTCACCAAACGAAAATTTTTAAATGAACGAATTAAGCCGCAGGGAAAAGCTATATTCATAACAGGTAAGAATTTGTTTACCTTATTGTTCCATTTCATTGTTTTACAATCTGATTTTATTCTTTCAAACTAAATAAAATTTGCTAAATGTCAAAATTATAAAAAAATTTATTTGCTGCTAAGACCACATGAAATTAAAATTGGTGTTCTGTAAAACTTGTTGTATTTTGAAATTGTTGTATTTCTGTAAAACTGGGAGGGAAAGAAGAGATCTGGAATAGTATGTGAAAAACGTATTCCAGCAATAAAATCGTATGGAAATACGTCTGTTAAAAATACGACTTTTTCAAAATTCAATTTCTCAAAAACTACTCGACCGATTTCGCTCAAGTTTTGCATTTTGCCATTTAAAATTACATTCTTTACAATGATGTAAAAAATTATATACCTTTAAATTCAAAATTTATAAAAGTAATAATAATGAAATAACAACAAAATACTAATATTTTTACATTAAATTATTTTTGGATAAATGAATTTTATGATTGAGAGCAAAAATTTTTCAATTCGCTTAAAAATTTCTTAAAATGCAGTAAAATACTCAAAAAATAAATGTAACATTAAGAGGTAAAAAAATTTGAATCGCACTCATTATCAAACTATTGATACTCTAATTCTCAGATAACGGCAATCCTCTATATTTTGGAGATCAGAAATCCGTATCCGTTGCAAATAAAAGATATGTTAATTCAGAGAAAGTGTGTTTTTGTGTTTGATTTCTCAACTTAAAATATCGTGTATACTAATTAATTAGCACATTTGAGATCACCTACTCGAACTTTAGGATTGAGTCAGCGAAAGTGATGATCCAATCATTAGATCAAAAGTAATCCAATGTGATCCTTTTTTCCCTCACTATACACTTCTGATTCAGTTTACGGATTTACTTAATTTATCAAACAAAAATATTTTACAACCAACAAAATATGATACTATATATTTACAAATTATTTTTCTTTATTTGAAGGTTGTGATAGTGGATTCGGACATGGTATAGCAAAGCGTCTTGACAGTAAAGGTTTTTATGTGTTTGCAAGTTGTTTGATGCCAAATGGCCCCGGGGCCCAAAAATTGCTCTCAGAATGTTCTGAAAAATTACGTGTTTTAGAGCTGGATGTTACTAAAGACGAAAGCGTCAATCGAGCCTTTGAGTTTGTAAAAAGCAATTTAGGAAATTTAGGTAAGTATTCTATTTTACACATTGATGTTATATTTTTATTAGTTATTGATTTAGCAAACTGAAGAAATAGGGTCAGTTTGGGATAACATAAAAACAAAAATTAAACTTTTATAATTATTTCTAAAGCAATTGAACTTTGTAATGGATAGAAAGTAACTTTCAATCCTTTTTAATTGGTTGAACAACTAACATAACCATCTGCTTCAAAATAACACAATTATTTGTTTTTTCAGCAACTGACGATAAGTGTGATTCCAAAATGTTTAAAAGGTGGCAAAATTTACAGTTTTAACACTGCACTGTTTCTACAGAATCAATGTCCGACATAAAAGATTGTCATCCTTTGTACATCTAACAATACTAAACAAAATGACTAAAATTAAGGTATAAAAAAGTCAAAGGTTTATTTTCTAGTTACAATCTAGAACAATTACATTTTAAGAAATTTTCGTATGCCAAAGATGGTGGCAACTATTGTACTCCAAGGTGGTGTTTCACTGTACCAAGAACTAAGGATAAGACCTGATGCAGTGTAGTACCTAAAATGTTCCGTTATATTACTTGGTATAAAGTAGCCCCCCCCCCTTGTTTGTTATTTAGTAACACTAACATTTATAATTACAGTAAGATATGATTCTCATAAGAAACACTGAAGTTATTTTTACGAAACAATGTAAAGTAAGAATCAGTAATTTATGTAGCATGTATACACTACATCTTCAAATAAAATCAGTTCATAAATGAAACATACAAGCACAGAGGGAATGAGATGAATTGGAACTATGCTTAACAGAGCAGAAGCAGAGAGAAATTATACATTATAAAATTATTTAACAAATTATAAATTATCTACAGAGACTCAAAAACTAAATTTTAAATATCCTTATTACACAACTAAAAGAGCCGGGATAGACTGGTTGGTAGAGGGCTGGACTTACGTTCATGAGAATGGGAGTCCGAATCAAGCCAGACGAAGGCTCCCCGTGAAGTAAATGGTGACTGATGCACGTTACATCTGTTGGGTCACGAAGTTCCCATAAACTATCAGGGGGTCCTGGATTGAAGATATATTGTTCTCTGTCTCAGGCCAAATTTATGATCTGTGGATGAATGAATGGATAAATAAATCGATTCTCCCTATCAGTGAGTGTGACGCATGGGTGTTGTGGAAGAAGTCGAATTCTTTGCCATAGATTGCGCCACTCGAAAACAGGAACAATCGCACTCCCAGTGCCTTAATGGAATACAACAACAACAACTGAAAACATACATATTTATTTTAACTGTGAATTTCATTTTCTGTCTATGAAAAGCAGCAATGAAGACAACCACAAACACTCGCTAACTCGTTATCGATTGTAAACAATTACAGACGATGTTCAAAACGCGCTTAGTTTTAAGCGAAAATATTTAACTTATAGTGTGAAAGCGAGTAATGTTGGCGTAAACTTTACGCATTTTTGGTGTTCAGAGCTTTCATACATCATTTCATACACCAGTGTATGAAATGAGATTTTAGAGATTTTCAACACCAAAATCGGAGAGATAATATACCACAGGTTTTAGAGTGTAAATCATGTTTTATTATTAGTGCAAGGATATATACACCTGATTTAAAAATTTTAAGACAAGAACCAAAAGTCTAAACAAAAAACCATCGATATCGCGGTGTTTTTGTTTACTTCGATCGCAAACAAAACTTTCGTCTGTGCTTAAATCTGACAAAGAAGGGGTTTAACTTTAAGCAGGCAGATCCAAATCTTCAACCATGTTTTTATTACATTAGTCTCTGTCTAAATACGTGGTTTAGGCTGGCTTTAGAGATGAACTTCATTCTGTAAATCCAATTTAAAAATTTGGAGAAAGTAAGGAAAATCGTAGTAATGGATTGGCAACGTTTAAAATCAAGCAAAAATTAGAAGATGTTTTTTCAATAAAATCTCATTATATTTTTTTATTTTTTTAAAAAAAAAACTTTTTATTTAGGTATATGAGTTGAATTTTAATTCTAATTTTTATCTTATCTATAGACCTCTGGGCAATCGTAAACAATGCCGGGATTCAAAAAGGATTTACAACTGATTTTGCATCTGTCCAAGACTTCAAAGACACGATGGAAGTGAATGGGTTTGGAATGGTTAGAGTAACTAAAGCTTTTTTACCACTGCTGAAACAATCTAGAGGACGAGTAGTTAATGTCACAAGCTCAAATGGTAAGTAAATCAATAAATAAATACATAATAATTATAGATTTGTTATCAGCATTAGGCACGTAATCAAACACTAATACTAATCTTTGAAAAATTCATTATAATTATTAAAAAATTATATTAATCGCCTACTTTACCAGTTTTTTAGAAGAAAAGAAATGCCAAAAATTAAGATATTTTTTCATTTTATTATTAAATTCAAGGAACTAAAACAAAACATAATACACAAATTTTAATTTTTTTTACATATATAAAACACAAACCGTCAGTTTACAATCCCGAGATATCTCGGTCAAATGAAGAAAATTAAATATTAGTCTTTGTCTGATAGTTTTTGAAACAAAGGACAACACAAAGTGATACGCCATTTTTTAAAACTTTTTTCTACGTAAAATTCAGAAACCACCGTATATACAATCGCAAAAATCTCGTGTGCAATCCCACAATCCAACATCAAACTCCCAAACAAAACTTGGCAAACTTCCAATCATACCAGATTTTTTTTCTTCCGCCGCGTAAAAGCGTGATAAAACAAAACGTACTGACAAATTCTGTTACGCCCGAGTTTTCTCGGGATAATAAATATTTGCAACATGTACAAGCCCGAGTTAACTCGGGATATTCAGAGAAGCTGTTAAAGCTGCTTGTAAAAACTGTGTCTTTATACCTATCTCAATTCGATGCTGAAAAACTTCACAAATTGTGTGTTATTTCCAGTTTGCATCGACTCAATCGTTCATACGCACTTAAAAACGTATAGTCTTAATTAAATTCTAATAAATGAGAAAGCTTACACCAGCATGTACGTTTACTTTATATCATGAATTATTTTTGCCAATTTTGGCTTGCTAGCTTACGCTAAAACTGGCGAAAGTGGAAACCTTACACCGAAGTGAAAGCCCTATACTAGTAGAAACCATCAGACGACATTAGTTTTTGTTTACGATTCGAGAACAAGAAAATGAAAATTTGTTTTCGCTTCGCACGATGTTAAACAATCTGATGTACACTAGAAAATTTTCAAAAAAAGCATATATGCTTTTAAATTTATAATAATGGTAATTATGTTATCGTAAGAGGATTTACAAAAATCTATCAATTATATTAAATATTTATAATATTACATTTCTTCCAGCTTTCGGTTTTGACCAGCTTAGTTCGAATTCATATTATTTCCTCTATTCCATTGATGTGTTTAATAATTTTATTAAAAATAGTAATAAAATTTTGAACAAGTATTCTAAATTAATGATTTTTACTTTATGCTGTATCGTAAAAATAACTTTACTGATCCTTATGTATTTCATATTTTGTTGCAATTGGGTATACTATAGCCTACGTCACAGGTTGTGTTATTCCTACTAAATTTAACCCATGAACGGCATTTTCTGCGAGCCTAACTTCAAGCCACAAATAAACAAACGAAGTGTTTGATCGTTTAAATAGCTGCTCGCCAGATTTTATTGCATTATAAAGAAAAGTAATTGATATTCGATTTTTGATTAATAATTGATTTATGTGGATAGTGGCATAGAATTTAGCATTGCGTCATGGTAAATGTTATTCCTACTAAGTGGAAGTAGTTGTGTTTTTTTAATATTATACCCAATTGNGTTACTGATTAAAAAAAATTTTTTTTCCCTGATGAGCCTTTTTCTCATTAATTTGCGCTAGCGTTTAAAAATAAAATGGGTGATTAATAGAGAGATTGCTCAAATCGACATAAATATATTTAAAAAAAAAGAATATTTCATTTTTATTAAAAAAAAGTTCATATGATGTCTAATCACTGCATACCATATTTCATTATTCTATTAATAGCAAATTACTTTAAGCGAAAAATTAAAAACTTAAACTTAATTAGATTTAGTTAACTTTTTTTTATAGCCAAGCTGCCTATAGCTCATAATACTCCTTATAATATGAGTAAATATGCTGCTGCGGGATTCAGTGAAAGTCTTCGACTAGAAATGATTCCCTGGAATATTCCTGTCATTCAACTGGAACCTGAATTGTTACGGTAAATTTATTTTAAACTATTTATATACTTTTCTTAACTGATAACAATTTATATCATTTGCAGTACATATGGAGCCAACAAATGAAAATCAAACACCCGCCATAAAACACATTCCTCGCCAAAATTAGCAATCTGTTAGGAATCGATACTGTTAAACATTGATCGCTTGTTACGTTGGAATCAATAGGACAGAAGATGTGCATAGTAAAAACACAATGGTCTATAGAGTTGTTTCATTATTGCTCTGGAGTGTTGAGCATAGTGAAAAATAAGTTCATCCAGCATTGAACTGGAGATCAAAAATATTGCTGTTGATGAACATTGCACATTGTTACAAACATTGGATATTGTTATTAAAACATTGGACATTTTTGCTGCAAACACTATAAGATTCATCGTTGTTGGCGAACATTGCACAATGTCGTGACAACATTGGACATTGCTGTTACAACATGTAATACTTCTGAAGCATTGGTTATTGTTGCTACGAAGAAAGGTAGGCAGAAAGGAGTGACTAGTTTTTTGGTGGCTGAAAGTGATGAATCGGCAAAATTCCTCATCGCATGTCTCTGTATATGGCATACCAAAGGGATATGGACAGAAGAGTCCGCAACGTGCATAAAAATCAAAATGTCTGTAAGGATGTCAGACGAAATCATTTTGTATCATATCACCCATTCTCATACTGGTATTATGATGAGGGATGGGTTTTCAGCTATTTGTCTAAGAAACACTTCTGCACCCTCCATTCAGCCCTGAATTTACCCCATGTGATTTTCAAATTTTCGGTTACCTGAAGAAAGATGATTGTAGTCGACCTACCATTTTCTACAAAACTGGAATTGATCGTTCCATCTTCCAGTGGGCTAATTTGGCTATTACTTTGGAATAAAACAAATTCTATTGTCCCTTTGTAACGGGTGTTCGGTTTTCATCTGGCTAATCCTTAACCATTATTATTTTTCTTAATTATAATATTTAGGTTAGGTTATTTAATGCGAGCATTCCATATGTATCGTTAGATTTCCCTTCTACATCCTGTTGTAGATTAAGGAGATGAAACAAATATACTATGGGATTCTTTTCAGCAAGACAATAGAATAATTCCAAATTCGGAAAATTTTTCTTTAGGAGTAGTAAACTGTAAAAATTAGTATTAAAAAATATGCCTGCTTTATTTAAATAAAATGTATAATATAGCTTCTTGGAAGTTTTTCATTTATTTCACGCAACAGCTCCATGCTGTAGCACCTTATTTAATATGCTTGAAATCTAAACACTTCATTTATTTTATAAATTATAAAGGTGAAAAAAGCCATCATGTTTTGACCGATCAGAAATAGGCGTCTATTACAAGACTCATCCCATGAAAACAAAGAAGACAAAACAGATTGGTAAAACGTAAAGCTTCAAACGAAACGCAGGAAAACTAAATCTAGGTGAAAAATAAGACTAAAAAAACTGTGCTAGTGTGCAAGCCTTGTTTAGGGTTTAAAAGTTTGGCAATTTCGGAGGTGAAAAAAAAATAAGTATACTATGGGAATTTTTAAACAAAGACAATTAAATAAATCAAAATTCGAAAAAGGGTTCCTTAGTTGAAATTTGAAAAAGGATTAGTAAACTGAAGAAAATGTAAACTGAAGGGGTTGTCCTTTGCAGTTTTTGCTCTTAAAATAAGAGGAAACCCCCATTTTTCGACTTATTTTGAAAGTAGTAAAAGATATATGTTAAAATTATTTTAATGCGTAGTTTTTTTGAAAAAATTAAGCTTTATTTTTAATTAGAAAATCCTGAAACAGTTTATAGAAAATTGTTTAAGACAAAACTCCTTTAAACAATACACAGGGAAATATGATTCTACGTACTATATTACCCTTAGTAACGAATATAATTTTAAGTACAGTCAGTCACAAAAGTCTACATACACCCGCTAATATTCACAGATCTAGCACTTTACTCATATTTTTAAATATACAACTTTATTTTCGTTAACATCTTGGATAAAAACTCATATCTAACAAAAAAAAATTATGAACAAATTCGTTAAAATATAACAAAAATTAACAACGCATTAAATTATATAGTCGCAAAAGTCTACATACAGAGACAGAACAATACAAACTTTCAGAATTAAATGCCAAAAAATGTAACATTAATACATTGTATTACCTCCCTTTGAAGTAACAACTGCCTGAATTCTGTTTGGCATCGACATAACCAGATTTTTTGTCGTCTCAGGTGTAATTTGAGACCATGCAAGCTCGATTGCCTTCTTTAGGGTTTCCTTGCTTGTTACCGATTGCTCCCGAACTCTCCTACCAACTTCCTCCCAAAGGTACTCGATGGGATTAAGGTCTGGGGACTGTGGTGGCGAATGGAGCTGTTTAGGCGTTTTATAGAGTAGCCATTCCTTAACAATCTTAGCTGTATGTTTTGGGTCGTTGTCTTGCTGGGAGACAAAGTTGTTCCCAAGTCCCAATTTTCGAACCGATGGAAGTAGATTGTCTTGCAAAATCTTCAGGTATTCAAATCGATTCATTATGCCATCGATAAACACTAAATTGCCAACTCCAGCGGCCGCCATTGCTCCCCAAACCATAACACTGCCTCCACCGTGTTTCACAGTTGGAGTCAAATTCTCGGGATTCATTTCTGTGTTTTTTTTCCTCCAGATTTTTCCGCGGCCATCACTCCCGAACACGTTGAACTTACTCTCGTCTGTAAAAACAACTGTTTTCCAAAAATTAAAATCTTGGTCAATATGTGCAGAAGCAAAATCAAGTCTCTTTTGTTTGTTAGTAGATGAAATGAACGGCTTTCGTCTAGAAACTCTAACATTGTAGCCGGCTGATCGAAGAATTTTACGAACAGTTTCTGGATGCACTTTCTTTCCACTAGCTGTTGCAATTTGATTCGCTAATTTTGGAGCACTAATTTTCGGATTTTTCTTCACTTTTCTTGCTATGGTTCTTGCATCACGATCATTAAGCTTCCTTACACGACCACATCGATATTTGTTAAGCACATTTCCACGCATAACATACAGTCATTTCTGTAGATTGTTTGAACAGTTGACCGACTTTTTTTTACAATTTCTGCATAAGATTTCTTTTCACATTTCATTCTTACTATCATATTTCGAAGTTCTAAAGATGTTTCCTTTCCCTGACTCATTTTGTTGAAGTTACAATGTCAAAAAATCTCGGGAAATGAAGATTAGAATAGATAACGAAACATGTAACCTCAAACTAAGACAATCTTCCAAAATAACTTCGTATGCAAATTTTTTTTCTGTCCGCCAATCAGGTGTATGCAGACTTTTGCGACTTGATAATTACTATACAAAACACAAAATTACCTAGAAATTATTATTTCTCAATATTTTTATTATGGAAAGCAAATTTTTTAGAAAAAACTGAAGGAGTGATATGATTTTTAAAATTGAAATTTAATTGCTTTTTGAGAAACCTTTATTTTGATCAGTGTATGTAAGTTTTTGTGACTGACTGTATATAGTTTAATTTTAATAATTATCGGTCGAGGTTTGTTAAAACCGAATTGTAAAATGTAACTTCCCGAAAATGTTTTGCATGCATGCAGTGGAGTGCTAAGGGCTTTACAGTGTTTTGATATTTGATGCTTAGATATTGATTAGAATACAGTGTTTGGATGTTTCATACACCTTTGGGTGCATCGTTTAGAAGATGTTACGGCAACGTTTTGGGGAAAAAACTTGTTTATTCAAAATTGTAAAGTACCTTAATCAACTTTTCATCATCCACATAATATCGTAAGTTTAAGACGTTAATCAAGATTTTTTTTTTCTAATTAGTAACTGACCTTCTTTTTTTTCTACTTTTGTAAAAAATGTTAAGCTACCAGAATGTTTCATCTCAAATAACTCGAGAACGGGGGTGAAACGATTATCATCCGGTATTTTGTATTTATTTCCCCCCTCCGTACAGTTTGAAAGCATTTTTGAGCTGAAGGCTGGTACTACTTTTTATTTTATTTTATTACCATTGTTAAACATTCGACCCAATTTTCGGGTTTACGATCACTAAAGTTCAACTCCACAGCCTTGTAATTTTGAACCCAATCCAGAAGACAAGAGAAAGCCTGGATCAAGTATTGGGAGAAATTTGCCGTAGTAGAGGACTTTTTGATGGAACTTATCCGAATTTGCGTTAGATGGAGAGAACAACCACGAAAACCTCCCACGATAAGCCTGACTGCAATTGGACTCTAATCCATGATCCATCTACCACTGAGGATATTTTACGTCAGCGTTGTGGTCGGCGCAAGAGGGATGTGGAATTCGTATCGACCAGCCATCGCTGGGATTCAAACCCGGTTCATCTCATTGGAAGGCGAACGTTCTATCCCCTGAGCAATCACGGCTCAGGCAGATACTACTGCCATCATCCCGCACAGCTTCAAATTCGACTGACACTAGTCAATAATTTCTACATAGTCAGCCGGAATGTCATTGATAACTGTTACGCTCAATCGTACATAGTTATATATAATCTACTTTATACTCCAGCACAAAGATTTCATCTTAAACAATGAGTATTATTTTGTTATATCTTTCTTAATTAAAAATATTATTTACCTATTTTATTAATTATCTCGTTTCAGGACACAACTGACCAATCGTAGTGAAATTGAAAAACGCTTAGACTCGGAAGTAAAGGCCATCGATCCTGAAGTAAAAGCTCAGTACGGTGACAAATTTTTTGCAGATTTATATTTAGCCGTGTTGGGAGGAGTGACAAAATATAGTACAAGTGACATCACCTGCGTCATTGATGATTTAGAACATGCTATTTGTGCAATCTATCCTGATATGGTGTACAAGCCATGCCGAGCTTATTATGTAAAATTTGTCATACGCTTAGTTGAAATGCTCCCGTATGCATTGAGAGAGCAACTTTACATGATAGTGTCATGTTATTTGTCTTATCCTAAACCTAAGGCAGCTTAAAATAAATTGTTTAAATAAATATTCCTGTTTCTTTTTTTAAGAAAATAATAGCTATTTCTCTTTTCTTAAGAAGCATCTATACTCGCGAATTCAACTGTCGAAGGGATGGAGAAGAGGGGAATCTAACTATCCTTTTATTCCTTTTTTTTTTTATTTAAATTTCACAAGTGAATATTTATTCTGTTCGGCAGTATGTTTCGATTCATGTAAAATGCCAGGCCGTCATCCAATAAGAATTTTAGATATAAAGCACGCTTTAGTTAATATTATCTTTTAATTTTCCCTGACAAAATTATGATAATACAATTCTGCAAGCAGTAGATTTTGAAAATTATTTAAGTTGTATACAGTTGTCTTGATTCTTAATAAATATATTTGTTTCGGTGCAATTAACGTTACAAGAATTTTTTAGTATAATCTAAATAGGTTAAAATCAGTTTAGACTCTAAAAAAAATTTTAAAAATCTAAAAAATGGGCAGTTTTAATTTACGTATTCAAAACCACAAGTTGCATAATTTTGCTTCCTTAAAATTTTGTGGAAAGAGTCATGTCTGTACTAAAAATTATCGAGTGCCATGTTCTTTTTAATCAAATAAAGCAACCGCTTTATTTTCCACCTTTTTTTAAAGTAAGTTTGTAATGTGCTTTCGAATAAAATTATATCATCCAAAGTTTGATAAGTACGAAAAAAAATATCAGAAATCCCCAAGTCAAAAATTTAGCCAAAAATCAAAGATGGAGAGAGTAGAGGCCTCTGAACAATTAAACCACTCTGTTGGCGGAAAACTAAGCCTATTTTGAGAATTTGTTTCGCTGACCTAATAATAAGTCAAATACTGAATCAGTCATGAGAATAAATCATGAGATTAAAGCAAAATACTGAATAAGAACTTTATTAATTCTATTATATTTGCAACAAAACAAACTTTTAAATATATCCAAGATTACGATGGCCTGTTTATATAATTTCTTATGGTTTTACAGAAAAATGTTTTTTATCGTTCAAATCGGCAATTTGTTATAACTAAAAATAATGTATGTTGAACGTACCCAATTAGAATATAGCAATTTTACTAAATATTAGTCAAATATAAATCAATATTCTCTACTTACATTTATTCTGATTCGCAAGTAGCTACACTTATTCTTGGTTTTATTGCTTATTCTTGATAGATGAAGAGGATATTTAAGATATAGAGGATTTAAGTAGCTTGAGGAACCTAAGTACCAATTAATATTCATATCATAACCATCCATTATAAAAGTCATAAATTTGTAGAAATAAGATTGATAAGCTCTTATTTCTGAAAGTTAGTAAAACTGAAATGGTCTAAAAATCGATCGAGGTATAGTTTTAATTCAGATGATAGTAAAATTTTTCTCACTGAAGTATACTTTACTGTGCCGGTATATGCAAAGAATAAAAATATTAAAAATCATTGTTCGTTTATCGTTTGTGAGGGACAAAAAAAATTTTATACATTTAAATTTATAAAATAATTTATCGAATAATTAAGAGTGAGGTACCAAACAGTTATTCCATAGTTTTCTTATAGATGAATATTTGAATAACATTCTTAGATCACTTTCACGACACAGTGCTTTTTTATTCAACTTATGAAAAGCAAGCAATCGTTTGACGGTCGACTTTTCAAACGATCCAGTTCATAGTTTTTCATTTATTCTTTATTTTATTAATATTTGAATTAGTTTTAACAGAAAAACAAATTACAATTTGAAAAATATTAAATTCTCAAAGAATAATAAAATAAAATTCTCGAATATTTAGAAGCTTAGGGAACATTCTTACTGAATCTGGTTTGATCGTTCTGCTTAAAATACACCAATCAAATTCTCAGTTTCTGAATGTGTATTTCTTATAAACTTTCACTACGATAAAAAAAAATCTCGGTTTCAGCGTTGGAAAATATTTTGCATTAAAGTGAAAAGTTTGTTTTCAAAAACATTTTAATTCAACACAAAATCGTTTGCTTATAGCAAAAAAAAACAAAAAAAAAATGAAGGGGGGGGGGAAGGATTATAGAGTCCTTAATATATCCAGTTAACTCAAGCATTATTGGAAAAACAGCACAATGAAATCAAGAAAAAATTAAAAGAAGTAGACAATGTTAAAACATTAGATAGAGAGTTAGTCGATTTTTTGTTAAGATTGCTTTTTTTTCCCTTCAAAGTATTAATTCATTGTGGGAATTAAAAGTGACATAAGCTTTTTTTATGTTTTGTTGATGTTTTAAATAAATCTTTTCTTTTTATAAGTAGAGTCTATTCAGTACAGTTTAATTCAGTACAGAATAGAATATACCCACTATTGCCTGAAGATTAAAGCAACTGATTTAATCTTTTTGTCTGTTTTCGAACGGAATCATAAGAGCTAGTCACAACGTTTTGGACCGAGCTCCAAAAATGCCAAGTCAAGGAACTGCCCCTTTAACAGTGATGAGTGAGCATCATTCATGGAAATTTTGGTCCATGGCTAAATTTAGTCAGAATAAATTTATTCTGAATGATGATTTTCTATTTGTAAATTTAGTCATTATTCATCAATTATTATGGAACTTACTGAATAATGATTGATGAATAAATTTATTAACCTTAACTAATTTTTTAAATAATATTTTGAATAATGGGAGCAAAATGCAATATTATGTCATTTTTAATTAATGTCATGTCAGTTCACCGATTTCAGTAATCAATTACGAATGTTATTAATTGTAGGTATCTTAAAACTATCATTTGCTCAAACGTTATTCAGGGTGTTCGTTTTTTTTTGCGCACTGTAGACACATACATACATATATTACATGTTCAGAAGTAAGCATAAACATTGTATACTTATCAGCATCTATACATTGTATACTTATCAGCATCTATACATTGTATACTTATCAGCATCTATACATTGTACTTATATACAATGTAGAAAATATGTTTAAATGCAATGTATGTACGTGTTTATATACACTTCATGCATATTTGTATATGAAATGAATGCATGTTTGGTCACATGCATGATGTGCAAAAAAAGAACCTGAATAATTTTTTCTCTAATAATCTGATTTTCACGTACTGGGACTCAAACTTAATGGTTTAAGAGGATGATCTCACATATGCTAACTAATTTGTGCCAACGATATTTAAGTTACGAAATCAGACACATAAATCATACTTTCTCTGAATAAACATATTTTTATTTACGATGGATTTTTGGCCCTCAAAATATGGAAGGGAATAGCCGCTACGTGAAAATATGGTCGCAATAGTTTGGCCAGTTGAGGGGATGAAAATTAGGACCCTTTCATGTTAATTTTAAACTTTACATATTTCGCCTTTCCTCTAGAATTTTTCAAGGTATTTGAAGAATTTTTTCATTCTGTTATAAAAACTCGTTTATTGAGAGATAACTCCATGCAAAAAATATTTTTACTATCATATACTTTATTTAATAATAGTAAAAATAAATAGTAAAAAAAGATTTTAAATTGTAAAGTTTGCAGATTTTTACATCATTTTAAAGAATGTAATCTTAAATGGCAAAATACAAAATTTGAGAGCAATCGGTCGAATAGTTTCGAATTTCCAAAAAGTCGAATATTTAAAAAATTTATTTTTCAAGAACTATTCGACCGATTTTGTTTTAATTTTGTCTTTCGTCATATAAAATTCATTCTTTAAATTGATGTAAAAAATTACACGCCTTACGATTCAAAATATTTCCGATAATTATTTAATTAAATAATTGGAAATATTAAATAAATATTAAAGGTAGCAATCGGGTAAAATTATCTTTAGATAAATGAATTTTATAATTGTGTGCAAATAATTTTCAGTATTTTTGAAACTTTATACGTAACATTGGGTTGCGTAAATGTTGCGATTAACTTTTATGGAAGTTAGGGCATCAGTTTCATCAGGATGTTTCATCAGGATGAAAATTTTATGAAAAACTATGCACGTCAAAATCGTCATCGGCGGCTAGAGACGCTTCTCTATTACGACCTCTTCAGAAGTTCACAAAGAAACAGCCATTAATGGGAAAACGAATCTAGCTGCTTAAGGTGACACTTCCGGGCAAGAGTTCCTATACATTTTAATCATAATGTTGTGTCCTAACTACCTTAGAAGTTTGCCGTAACATTTTAGAAACCCCCTGGTATATATAACATCTTTAAAGTCGCATATTTCAACAAAAAATAGACTAAAAATATTATTTAAGGAAAAAAAAACTTTAGCTTGGAGAAAAAAAACATTTATGCAGGGTGAAAAAAACAGAAATAAAAAAAACGCTACATAAATCTGACGAATTGCTAATGAGAAAAATATCAAAACTATTTCCCACTCTCACTTTCCTCATCAGTGCTCCGATTTCAAAATTATTTTTGTTTTTCCTCGCCTTAATTTTTGATCACTTACATATCTATTTTCAGTAATCTTTTCAGATACTAAAATTATGTATTCAGGGCAGTCGTTATGTAATACCCTGTGTGACGGAATCCATCACTGTAAAATATTTTGCAGCTTAAATATTTTATGATATGCCTTGTTTCTGTCAAAATATATACTAAATGGCCAAAAACACAATTTTCAGGGGGAGTTAAAGGCAAATAACCGCATTAGTACACTTTTTGACACAAATACACTTTTTAAGCAGTAATTTATACAACAAAAAGAGACTGTAAGTCTGTTCATAATTTTAAGTTTATTGCAGCATTTTTGTTAAGGAAAATATTTATATATTATTTTCCTTTAAGATTACGAGGCAACAACCTTGGGGAAGAAAACAAAAAGGTAATTATATAAGAATATCAATCATCATCAACATTAAAAGATATCATTTTATACAATTGCCATTATTTTCAAATTTTGAGCAACATGTAATTAGATGTTTTTTTTATATAATTTTTAGCTCAGAAACTGTCGTTGTGTCCTTTTTTTTCAGAACTTTTAGATTTTACGCGTGTAAACACATATTTTTTAGGACAAATGAAAAATATATATTATACATAGGAATAATAGAAATACTAGATGCTATAAGAAAACACACTTTTTAAATAACAATTTATTCCATAGAAACACAGTGTAGTGAGTACAAAGTTTGGAAGATCATTTAACATATTATCGGTCAACTATTTATTAGATATTGTTTAAAATGTGCGAATAAGAAAAGGAACATAACTTGAAATGTGTCTTTTTTTAATAAATTTTACTCAAAATTCTAATTTGAAGAACTAGATTTTACTTAAAGAAATATATTTACTATTTTATTATTATATATGCGTTTGAAGAAATATATTTACTTAAATTGCGCGTTTAAAGAAATGGATTTTACTTAAAATAAGTGCGCTTAAAAAAATTAAACTAGCTTTATACACACGTTTAAAAAATAAATAGAACTCAAACTGTGCACTGAAGAAAATAAAAAATTGCTTGAAATCTGTATTTGAAAAAATCGGCATACGTATCTCATATCTTCACATCGCAACAAAGTAGTACTTTTCAAATTTTTTATGACCTATTTGCCGATTTTCTTCCAATTTTAGATTTCTTCACTCAAAATTATCTGTATTAAAGTGGTGTAAGATCTTAAGTGCCTTACTATTTAAAAAAAATTTAATCATTAGTAAATAAAATAATAAAAAATGATAAATAATTATAAAAAAAAATAATTTTTACATGAGATTATCTTTGGAAAAACGCATTTTATTAGTGCATGCAAAAATTTTGATTCGCTTCCTCCGAAAAAAAAAAAGAATTTAGCGTTAAAAGGCTCAAACTTTAGACCATTTCCTGGCTTAACTATTTTAACCTTATTTTCAAAATTGCGATTACTTTCCATATTTTGAGGGTCAAAAATACATATTTGTCGAAAAAATCTAAGAGAAAGTATGACTTAGTGCTTGATTTCAGGACTGTCCTCATCATTAAAGGATTGAGTCATAGTACGTGTAATCCGATCATTAGATCAAAAGTTATTAAGTCGTTTTTTTTATTTTTCATTTTGCATAAAAATAGTTTGCAGACGATATTTCTTATGGAAAATATTAATGTAGAATTTCCATTTAACATTACACGACTACAAACCTTAAGAAAGATCGAAAAAAATTGCCCAATATTAGTTTTTTCAAACTCACATTTTGAGTACGAAACGTAAAAATAGTTTGCAGACGATATATCTTATGGAAAATATTAATGTAGAATTTCCATTTAACATTACACGACTACAAACCTTAAGAAAGAACGAAAAAAATTTGCCCAATGTTAGTTTTTTCAAACTCACATTTTGAGTACGAAACGTAAAAATAGTTTTCAGACGATATTTCTTATGGAAAATATTAATGTAGAATTTCCATTAAACATTACACGACTACACACCAAGAAAGAACGAAAAAAATAGTAAATTAAAACGATATCAATTGCAATCAACAATGATAGCTAAATCATTTAAAATAATCGTCTCTTACTTCGCAGACTTATCTCTTTGATTTACTTTCATTAATTTAATTCTCTAAAAAATTTTCCTCAACCGTGACTTTCATTGTTTAATTTAGTATTGTTCTTAACTTTTTTTTTTCATTGATGCTTCAAACTTCTGGTAAAATATGATTCGTTTTAGCAAATTGATACTTGCATGTTTGTTACATTTTGTATGCGTGTTTTTTGTGGTTAATGCGTTTATTTATATTATACCAAATTATCTGTTGAAGAGGATAATAAATTTTAATTACTTAGTGGTATGTTTAATTATTTCTTACTATACTTTTGAATTCACTGTACGAAAATTTCTAAATGAGAGGATTTGTCCGAAGGGGAAAGCTGTTCTAATTTCAGGTAAAACATTTTCTTTTTCTATAAACTATATTCATAGGATTTTTTTTCTATTTGTTCACGAGGACACTCTCATATCGAATCCTGATAGCATTGACTAAAATACCTTTATATTATACTTTTATTTAATAACCGGTGTTGAGCAGTCGACTCTGAGATACAACTATCAATGTTCAATTAGGTAGCCTTGTTATTGTGAGATCAATTCAGAAGACAAGGAGCTCCTGGATGAAGAATTGCGAGACACTAACCTTAATTGAAGACATTTTGATTGAACTAACCCGCATTTGCATTACATGGAGAGGAAAACCGCGAAAAAACCCCACTGTTAGCCTGACGGCGAGAGGAATTTAACCCATGATTGCCAGTGAGGATATTTTACGTCAGCATTGTGCAAGCCCGATGCGGAATTCGTAATTCGGAACTCGTGGAATGCGGAATTCGCTGGGATTAGAACCCGGTTCACCTCAATGTAAGGCGAACGCTATATCCCCTGAGCCATCACGGCTCAGGCTGATACTACTGCCATTTTGATGGAACATTTGACTACAGACATTTTGATGGAACTAATCCGCATTTGCATCATACGAAAATTACCAAAATCTTACGCGATTCGCCTAACGGAAAGGAGTTTCTAACACATGATCCGGAACACGTAATCTAACACATGATCCGGAACACGTAATCTAACACATGATTCGTGACATGTTTCTTCATGTGCTTCTGCAAAGGTCATAACAGTGTGGTGTCCCACCCCACATACGACGTCATTTCCGGGCAATTTGAATCTTATGCACGTTTAATCTTAATGATGTGCCTTAACTCCTCTAGAAGTTTTTCGCAACATTTATTCGACTTCCTGTTATATAAACCGTTTTTAAAATTGTATATTTTGACAAAAATTGCCAAATCACCAAAATCTTACGCGATTTGCCTAACGGAAAGGAGTTTCTAACACATGATCCGAAACACGTAATCTAACACATGATCCGGAACACGTAATCTAACACATGATTCGTGACATGTTTCTTCATGTGCTTCTGCAAAGATCATAACAGTGTGGTGTCCCACCCCACGTACGACGTCATTTCCGGGCAATTTGAATCTTATGCACTTTTAATCTTAATGATGTGCCCTAACTCCTCTAGAATTTTTTCGCAACATTTATTCGACTTCCTGTTATATAAACCGTTTTTAAAATTGTATATTTTGACAAAAATTGCACTAAAAATGTCATTGGAAAAAAATTGTAGCTTTAGGATAAAAACTAATCTTAGGTTTGAAATCCCCACACCCGATTTAGGCAAGTAGGTCAAGTATTTGTATAAATGCAAAAAAAAAAAAAAAATTGTTCTCCAGTGACTATTGACTTTAGTTAGGTACCTATATATTTGGTTCTACTTCCGGCAAAAAACGTTGATTCATGGTATCATAATAATAATATATTTTTTAGGTTGTGATAGTGGATTTGGACATGACTTAGCAAAGCGCCTAGATGATATAGGTTTCCATGTTTATGCTACCTGCCTGTATCCTTCAGGATCCGGTGCTGAGAGGCTTAAAAATGAATGCTCTACTCGATTACAGATTTTGGAAATGAATGTTGCCAGCGATGAAAGTGTAAAAAACGCTTTCAAATTGGTTGAGAAGAGTCTAGAAAATTTAGGTATTTGCATTTATTTTTGTCGTCTTGTTACACTCATACTTGTTTCCTCAACTATTTCTTAAAATATCAGATTTATTTATTCAATGTATCAAAAAAAGTCAGTCTTCGTTCTGAAATTCAGTAATTTCAGCACAAATAACTTTTTTTCGATGCTACTTTTTACAGCTTCAGATTTCTTTATTTTCTTTTTCTTCTTTGTATTATTATTATTATCATTATTACTACATATTATTTCCTTTCATTTTTTTTGACAATTTAATTGATAGGAGATTGCAAAAGTTCTACCCGATTTGAAACTAAATTGTAAGAGCCCTAAAAGACATATTATGAATAAGTTTTTGAAGTCATTAGGGCAATCACTTTACTTTTTGATTTATTTAATTAATTATAATGCACAGAATTTAATTATCTTTTTATTATTAAATTACCTTGAAAAACTTAATCTTAGAAAATTCTAATGAGGTAATGTCGAAATTATGAGGAAATTTTCTGATTAAAGTTTGTTAAATTTCTGCAGTGAAAAATACGGAATTAACGAAGTAAGCTAGTTTGAAAACGTCAAAACCTGTTAGATTTCCGGAAAAATATGTACTTACTAAGAATTTAGGCTAGTATATTTTAAATCTACTTCAAAATTTCCAGCAAGGATGCAAACCGGTTTCAAAATTTCCAGCCTGTTTGAAAACTGGTATCAAAATTTGCAGTACGATTTTATATTGATTTCACACTTTCCAGTATATTTGAAATCTGGTATCAAAATTTCCAGTATGATCTATACTGGTTTTAAAATTTCTAGTATGGTACCACACTGGCTTTAAACTTTACAGTATGGTGCTATACTGGCTTTAAAGTTTCCAGTATGGCGCCATACTAGGTTTTAAAATTTCCGGTATTGTTTCACACCAGGTTTTAAATTTCCGGTATGGTCATACTGGTTCTGGTATCATTTTTACTGGTTTTTAATACTGGATTTTCGGATTTTTTCCAATTGGGCAGTTGAGCGACACGTATTGCATTAATGTTATGGTGAAAGGTGTCTTATTGTTTGAATAAATTTGGAAGTTTCTCTTATATTTTCCAATTTTGTTATTTTTTAACCATGAGAATTTCGTATTATTCCTTTACAATCTAATAAAACACATTACATCATTGGATCATCACCAATTTACAAATTTAGGATCTATAAACAAAATAAACCCTAACGCTTTTTATATGCAAAATTCTAGAGAATTTCAATTTCTTATTAAGCATAATGTATAATTATTCTTTCAATTATAGTTTTTGTGTAGAATTTAAAATGCGTTTGAATTTTTTTTCACTTAAAACTTTTTTTTTTATTTATTTGAGTTTGAGTTTTAGAGGCCTTTTGAAATGTGGAGACCATTGGCCTAGGTCTCCTGTGCCTTTCGGTAAATCCGGCTCCGCATCAGATGCAGTTATGATCGAGCGGGAAATTTTATAATTTTAATTATATAAAAATCAAATAATAAATTCAAACTTTTATTAAAACATATTTTTCATTTCAGAATTCTGGGCCTTGATAAACAACGCAGGTACGCAAAAAGGATTTACCATTGATTTTGCTAGAGTTCAAGATTTTAAAGACACAATGGAAGTTAATGCTTTTGGAATGCTGAGAGTAACTAAAACATTTTTGCCTTTAGTAAAACGTTTCAAAGGACGAATAATCAACTTAACAAGTTTGCATGGTACGTTTACATTTCTTACTAACTATTCATTTTAATTTTTTAAAAGCATAATTTAGTCAAAATATTAGTAGAAAAAAATATAAATCAATAAATAATTGAAATGTGAATTAAATATTTCTTTTTTACTTTTTGAAAGCTGGTGGGAAAAGATCGAGTAATTTAGTATCAACGAAACAATGCAATAGGTATTAGAGATCTCTACCCCCCTATCAAATGTAACATTTTAAGATTTTTTTAAAATGTTTTTTTTTTCTTAACATTTAAAAGAATAAAAATAATTTTGTACAATTCTTGAGCTGTTATGCTGCGAACAATGATTGTGTATCCAACTGACACAAAATGATGCAATTTTTTTAAATCAATAATAAATTCTCCAAAATGTAACGAACGTAACATTTTTGTGTTAAAACGTTGTGTTATTCCTCATACTAATTTTGAAGGGAATTGGTAGCCAGTGGCTTGGGATTCAGCCTCCAATGGCCGTCCAAAGGGGCCGGGATTAGATCCTCGACTACACAAGTCCAACCTAGTACATGCGATATACGTGCTCCTAATGGAATCAAAAGTCCTGTGGTCGGACGCTGAGCAGTACTATGGACACAGGGATCTGGAAAAAATTTCCTTCCCCTTTAGATCTAGTCTAAATTGAGGAAGTGACTTTACGAATAAGTGGTGCTGCCACCTATCCGTGGTTTTCTAAGCTAAATCCTACTTTCACTGTTGCAGTATTCTCTTGTCAAACGAAAAGCGCACCCTGACTTACTTTGCAAAAGGCCATTGGCTAGCGAGCTTTGCATCTAAGTATCATTAGAAACAGGAAAGCAATAACTAATTTGGAAGAATTTCCTATTAATAACTGATGAAAAAAACAGCAATATTTATTTCTCAATTGAATACATAATCTGTGCTGTCATCATAAATACTCAAATAAGAAACAGAACTATTTTTACTTATTTATATTTTAAGAAAATAAACATATCATGCCTGATGACATCACGTTAGACATAAAAGGATGAATTTACCGCAATAATTGCCAAATAATTACCAAGAAAAATAAAAAGACAGCTGCAGTTTCGGGCTATTAAGAATGGAAACAAAAGAACATCCCGTTTTCATTTTTGATTAATGGCTAGTGCTCCTAGTGGAGTCGTGTAATTTTCCATTTTAGGGATCTTGGTTAGGCACTCGATCATGCAATTTGACATCTCAATACTTTTTATTATTTGTAAGAATAATGTATATACCAATTAACTCATATATTTATGCCAACAAGTCATTCCTTCAATGAAGAAACTAAGCCCTGATCAACAAATCCAGTCATATTTCTGCAAGATCATGGAGAAATGAATGCGTATATACCAGCAAAACTGCGGTGGCCATTTACTGTATACATAATTACTGTATACATATTTTACTGTATACATATATTTTAGGAATCATTAAAAAAATTTCCAATTTTTAATTAAAAGTCTGTGTTTTCCATTATGAGTACTTGAGCCGTGGTGGGTCAGGAGATAGAGTGTTCGCCTCTCGATCATGTGACTCGGGTTCGATTCACAGCTGTGGCTGGTAGATAAGAATTCAGCTCCCGGTTGGCCCCAACGGCAGTACAATATCACCAGTGGTAGATGGATCATGGGCTAGAATCCCCCCTCGAAATCCTTAATCGTGTTTTTCCTTTCCCTGCATTACAAATGCGGGTTAGTTCCATCAAAAATTCCTTCACGAATGCTAGTTAGCTCGCATGCCTGAATCAGGAGCTCCCTTGTCTTCCTAATTGGATTCAAAATTACTAGGTAACAGAATGAATCATTGATTGTCGTTAACTCGGCTGTACAACGGCGGTAAAAAATAAAAAGAAATAAACTACTTGTGGCATGAATTTAGGAACACCCTATGTATGCATAGTTCAATATTATTTCAATGATTAAAACAATGCCACACTTAAATGATTAAAACTATTTTTAAAATTAGAGTGAATAAAACATTTATGTTACATCTAAAAAAATATAATATCAATAAAGAAATTTGATTTTTATATTACGTTACTATTTTTAATGTAATAAAGCGTTAAGGAAAATTTTGTTAAACAGAATTTTTCCTTTTTCAGGAAGAATTCCTGCACCACATAATAGCCCTTATGTTATGAGTAAGTATGCCGCATCCGGTTTCAGTGATTGCCTTCGGCTTGAAATGAATGAATGGAAAATTCCTGTCATCCAAGTAGAACCGGAATTATACCGGTAGGTTATGCTTTTATAATTATCCAAATGATATGTATTCGACACTGAATAAAACTAGATGCCGAAATTACATCCAGAAATCTATTTACACACAGGGTGTTCTCTAATAGACGCCCTTAAAGAGTGATCTGACAAAAATGAAGATACTCTTTAATTATATTTCTGGAATCCTTGTTAAAAACGAATTTTTAAAAAATGTACGCATTAGGGGTCACAAATAAAATGTAATTGAAATTCGTCGCATCAGTGGTGAGGAAGGCAGTATGATAAACATCAAAACCAGTTGGTTGTCGGATGAAACTAGGTGGTGTTTCTAAAAATATTATTTCAACTCTTTTCTATTCCCTCTGGCAATTAAACGGGTTTTTATGTTTTCGTTTCTGCCTATTCTGCCCTTTCCTTTATTATTTGCCTGCAAGCTTTTAACTGACATAATCTATGTAACCCTAATACTCATTTAAACTTGTCGCGTCAAACGTGCACTCCTTCGGTTCATTAATCTGTTACTAAACGCATTAATCTGTTACTAACTACTTGGTGTTAAGTACATTTGGAATCTTCGTTCAAGTCAAAAATATCTAACGACAGTAATTTAGTACATTCATCTACTGAAATATTGGAAATTTAATGACTTCCCATAAAAATTTATGTTGTAAGACCCCAATTTTTTTCAAAAATATTATTTTTCTACAAAGCTTGTCAATTAGGTACTTAAAACTCGAGAAGAAGTCAAGTAGTTGTGCTTAACCAGGTGATTGAAATCAGATTTAATTGTATATCTATAAAACGAACGTCACGCATGTGTGTCGAACCTGACTGGCTTCGAAATTTACTAAGATTTGACACGATTTGCCTACGAGGAAGTCATTTACTATCCAATAGGACACCTGCAAGTGGCGTAGTGTGGTTATCTCGATCCTGATTGGTTGTTGAAACGTGGCATTTGTTTACTTTAAAAACTGTTCTTTCCTTTCATTTTAAATATAATGGTAAGGTATATGGTATATACCTTACCAAATAGTATATTATGATTAAATTCTATTTCGAGTAAGCCAAACCCGTCAAGTATCAATTCGCTTAAGTGACACATTCTATATCCTCATTTAACACGCCATTTTGCTGATAAGCAATCAGCTGGCGTTGATATCATAGGTCACGTGTATGGGTATTGGTTATCTTCTTCTTCTTGAAAGGCAAGTACCCCATTGAATATCATTAAATTTTTAATTGCAAAAAATATTTTTATTTAACGTTTTTTTTCTTAATCATAGACTTATCTTGGATATTGCACTTACACATTAATTTGTAAAAACTTACATTTCATTTCAGAACACTTCTCACAGACGATGAAATGGTTGGAACAAAGATGAGACTTGAAAATGATAGTGTTTCTCGTGATTTGAAAAAAGAATACGGTGGCGAGTATTTCGAAGAGTTAAAGATCGCTACTTTACGTTATCTGAATGTATGCTGTTCAACTGAAACTGTCCGTGTGATAGATGATCTAGAAACAGCCGTATGCTCAAAATATCCGAAAATTGTGTATAAGCCTTGCCGAAATTATTTAATGGGTGTGTTTGTCGATGCATTTGAGTTAATGCCATATAATCTTCGAGACCTGCTCGTGAATGTTATGTGTTATCTTTTATCATTTCCTAAACCCTTGAAGTCATAAAATATCAATAACAAAATATGCAGTGTCTCAAAAATGTCCGACGAACTGGAAAATCAATTTAAGAAAAACGAAAAGAAATAGAAATGTATGGATGATTTGCTAAGAAACAATTGCAAAAAAAAAACAACGTTTAAAACAATAAAACAACCTTTTATTCTGCATGTCAGACTATTCCTAGGGAAGATTTAGATGGTGGTTATGAATTTGATCCTGGATGCTAACTATACAATCAGCGCGTACAGGCAGCAAGATGAACGTTAAATGTGTTGTGACTGAAAATACTCATGTTGTGGATATTTGTAGAGAAGGGTACCAATTCAGGATCTGCCTTTGTCGTCAGCTCGGGGTCGAGATTAGGTGCTTATCCTACCATGGTTGTTAAAAGCGGGAGATCTGAAATGGACTATAGGTGCTTGAAGATGGTTGCGTGTGCTGTAAATGGTGGTTGTTTTGAAAACATTGTCTATAATTTTTCTCAGCAGCGCTAAATATTACAGAAATTTGTAACTAAATTCAAAATTAGTTGAGAATAAATACCTTGTTTTTATATGCTAATACGATTTTTTTCATCATTTCCTAAGCATGCAATGTCATAAAATAAACATTCTTCTTACTGTTATTATTGAGTAGACTGGATGACCCAGAAAATAAAAATGTATATAGCGCTGAATTTTGCTTAAGAAACCAGATATTTATTCTGACAAAGTTTGGAGTTTCGGCACAAAATTTGTTAACGGATGATGCTCCTTAAAGGAAAAACTGCAAAAAAAAGAGTTTTCTGTTACATGACAGACCACTTCAACTGAAACAAAAGCTCAGATCTATGCTATTTTTTGCCTTTTTGCTTTTAGGGTATTTGGAAATTACCTATCTTTATAAGCAAATTAAGAATTCTTCTGAGAGATTAGAAGTGAAAATGTATCACATTGATAAATGAGCAGCAACTCACTATTCACATATAATAAGACTAATCTCAAATGACATTTCACAAAAAACTGCTCATCACTATTTATATATGAAGGTAAAAGTATTCACATATGACAAGTGAAAAAAAAGAATTGTCAGCGAACTCAATTTTGGCTGAAAATATGAGAAAATATTGTATTTCTTAAACCCCTGAAAAATTCCTTCCTTTAAAGTTAGCAAATAATCAATCTTTTCATTCATGATGAAAATAAGTAGCAGATGAGTTTCAATGTAGCTAAATCTAAAACTTCTCGCAATATTTTTTGATAAAATTCCATTGCAACATGGATTACTTTTTTAGATTTATTTAAATTGTATCACAATTTTGATCCCAATGCTTTTTCTTAGGAATTTGTTGTTTCGAAGTTTTTTGTATACATAACCATATTTACGGTTTAAAAACAATATTATTCACTATGCTAGCTATAAGAAAATTCAAAAATCAAATTTAATAATTATTAATTAATGGCTAATTCTAAAACACAAGTAGCACACTGTAGCCGTATAACTGTCTGATAACTGTTGTGCAAATTATGCGACAACGTGAGTTTTTAAAACTTTTCATTTATCATGTATAATATTGGTTTTGCTTATATACATGGATATCATCTCTATATATCTATAAATCTCTTTCTCTCTCTCTCTCTCTCTCTCTCTCTCTCTATATATATATATATATATATATATATATATAGANAATTCTACAATTTACAATATATATATATATATATATATATGTATATAATGTTTGGCATATTTTCTATCAAGAAGTAAATTTTGCTACCACTGAACGAAATATATATGTGTGGTGTGTATATATTTTTAATGAAGTACATTTTTATAGCAAAAATATGATCTGAAATTTTGTACATAGTTCATGGAAAAGTTTGGGCAATTAATTTCTGAAAGTGAGTTACAACAATATCGTTGTAGGAGAAGTTAGGAAATGTATTCATAAATTTAAGTAACAGGTGATACTTATTAAATTAGGAAAGTTTGATAATATTGGGTTTGTATTGTATATGAATTATCGGTAAGTCACCTTATTCAGTTATATACTATCAGATTCTTTTAATACGATTTAAATTACCAGATGTACTGATATGAAGGTTGCTGGGTTGGGCTCAAAATTACAAGGCTACGGTCTTCAACATTGATAGCCGTAAATTTAGGCTGTTCTGAGCCTGTTCTGGAATAAATAGTAAAAATTTATTTAGTCATTTATGTATTTATTTAGTTTTTGACGAAACAGTATATTATTTTCTAACTTCTTGGCTTAACTGCTTTTTCTGCAAAATTCGGAAAACTATAGTGCTGCATTAAGAATTCTGTTAATAGTATGAAATTGAAAAAAAAAATTATTTTGGTATGCCTACTTCTTTGCTAATACTTGTCAGATCCTTTAAGTGGGTTAGTAAAAACTTTAACAAAATCTGACGAATGACTATTGAGGAAAGTGAGATTTGTCTAATTTCAATGATATTAGGGATTGAGAGTTGTTTGAATGTCAATTACCTATTTATTAATACACTAATTAGAGTTTTGGAAGAGTTTGTTTCATTTAATTCCTGAAAATGTATTTCCTGAGATTTAGTTGTTAAGTTTTGATTTTTAAAGTTTGAAGTATTTTTTAAATTCTGTCCAACTTGACCATTTTCGAAGGAAAAAAATGCTTAAAACTTTAAAAATAAATCTTTGCGTCGAATTTCATTAAAATAATTTTTGATGATCAAAATTTAACAAAAATTATCCGAAAATATTAATTAATGACTTAATAGATAAGGGCTTTTATACTCATATAACTCTCCATAAAAAACAGATTCTGAAACTTAGCCGTGTCAGAGGTCGGGAGCTAGGCAGCGCATGTTCCCCTCAGCAATGTTATTTCATTTTCAATGTCATGTTTTTTTTTATTTCTTCAAAAAAGAACATCAAATTTTGTTTTTTATTAATTAAAATGTTTAAATATCTTACATATAATTGAGTAAAATAAACTATTTATAAATTTTTTAAAAAAAAATGACATCTTTTATTATATAACGGCATTTTATAGTAATCACTTTTGTGAACGTGGTATCTTAAAAATCATTAAGGAAAATTTACAAATTTTTAGCCAACAATTTTAAGGTTATATCCCTGCAAGCTCTTAACAGCTCGTGATCGACGGTTTGGTGATCATTGATTTATTAAACAATATAAACTTTTATTCATCATAATAATTTCTTCTATTTAATATACTAAAATTCCGCACTCGGTTCACACCGACCACGGTAGTGACGTAAAATACCCTCAATGGTAGGCGGATCATGGGTTAGAGTCCCCTTGCTGTCGTGCTAGCAATAGAGGGGTCTTCGTGGTTTTCCTCTCACTGTGACGCAAATGCGGGTTAGTCCAATCAAAAAAATCTTCCACGAAGACAAATTTCTCCCAATATTTGATCCAGGAGTTCCATTGTGTTCTGGACTAGCTTCAAAATGAGAATGCTACAGAGTTGAACAATGGTAGTCGTAAACTCAAAAATTGGGTCGGTTGTTCAACGACTGCTATAAAATATAATGTTCTAATTTTTGCACTCAATTTTTTTTCTGTCAAACTTTCTAGCGTTATTTTTATTTTTTTCTCATACTTGGAATTAACAGCATATTTCGTATTCGAAATTAATTTTTAGATTCGTTTGCAGCATACAGCAAGCATTTATTGATTTTTGATAGACTAATGTTTTACATTTTTATTATTTTTAAATTATTTTTGCAATAAATTTCATCTATAACGATGGATACCTTTTTTTTATTACTAATTAGTTTTAAAATAGTGATCTATTTGTGTTCAATCTTTGAACAGAAAGTGATTCAAATTATTTTAAATCAGTTTCATAAGACTTGAACATTGTCACGTTACTAATTTTCATGAGCGTCACAAATCTAAGAATTACACAATTAAATTATCTAGTTCATATTATAATGGATGTAATCGCGGAAAGAAGTTAAAATAAGCTTATAACTTTTTGGATAAAGTTTTAACGAAGTTAAAAGTAGGGATAAAGTTTTTTAACGAAATATAATTTCGATTTCGATCTCTTTAATCTGATTTAACGACCAATAATTCATTATAAATAGAAAGCATCTATATTTACTTTCTATTAGTGAGAAAAAGAAGGACAGAAAATAATATGTTGCATGAAAAAAACTTTTTAAATTCTAAATTTATAACCATTTAAGGGCAAAAAAAGATATTTTTAATGAACGAAGTTGCTATTGACGATCAAATTGAGCTACAGGTGGCGTAGAGCAGAACTCTCTACCAATTTCAACACTTCGAAGCTCGCGTGCTTTCACTATTAGCGTGTGGCGAGTCATAGGAGAAGGGAGTAAGCTAGTTTCTGTCTTGATTTTTATATAGATTAAAATTTTTTAAGTGAGGAAACAATATGGAACTGAAAACTACATACTTGAACATAGCTCTGAAAGGAAGTGTCTTGAAAATTTTTAAAAATAGTTATGACAATTAAATACAAAAAATATTAAGAAAGGGAAAAATATTGTAGAACATTCCTATAGATCTGAGAAGAGGAGGAGAGGGAGGGGTGACCAGTCAAGACATGGAACAGGTCTTAATTCCAGATAGCGTATTCGGGCGTTGCGATCTCGAATTTATGAAGTAGTTTTAGTTACCAAAATGGCTAAAGAAAAGAAACATGGATGGTTGACTGAATGTAAGCAATAACAAGTTTTCTGAAACAGGAAGAAATTTAGAAAACTTTCGATGTATCCCTCTCCTTACGTTTTGCGTACGATGAGGAACAAGCTTAATTTCCAAGGAAGTTTTATTATAGTGATTTGTGTTTAAATTTATGCGCAATTTTACTTTTCATAAGAGTTTACTATAATTTATAAATTCTAACAGGTCGTGAGCCTAAAAGAAATTTAACAAAATTGATATCATAGCATAAATAAGGTGTAAAGTTTGCCATATTTTGAGCGTTATCCCTTATTTGGCTATATTTGTGTAAAATTGTGTCGTTTGTTTTATTTTGGGTCAGCATTATAGCAAGCTTGCGGAATCTTCCAAATTCATTTGTTGTTTGTTTCGTTGAAAGTTAAATTACGAGAACGCGTTGTATTGAAAACACTACAAGTATAATAATATTAGATGGCATGTTTTTTTCAAGCTTAATCGTAAAAATCAGTCGGAAATAGTACCCCGAAAGTCTCAAGGTGAATTTTGACACTAGCGACATCTACGCTTTTTTTTACATGGTCAACCATCCATAGAAAAAAAAAAGTAAAAAGAGCTAAAAGCGAACTGAAACTATGACGTAATCGAAACTTACTTGAACTTTCCGTTTGTTCTGTTTTCACGGTTTATTGCAAGTTAGTTCAATATGTAATACAAACGATACACAAAAAGCACTGATGCAGTTTATTACGTTTTTATCATCGGAATTAGTTTATGAACAATGCACATGTTCCATCTCGTTCTACTTTCAAATTGAAATACATGCTTTTGACTACGGTATTATGCGAAACATTTATTTCTCTTTGTCAATATGTCATATATTAGTTCAACGTAAGTAAATTTAATTACTTTCTACTTATAAATATATAGTTTTATTTTGATGCATGTTTTTAATCATACGTTTTTTTTTTAGCTCTAAAGAGAAACATGCTAGACCAAGACTTTGTGCAGGAGCTAAAATGTTTGGTGAAGGTAAGTATTAATTTAATTAATTAAAATTGATATTTTTTTCTTTTCTCGTGAATTTTTCATAATGTTATTATTTCTTAATGTCATCTTAGCATTATGTGGCTATCTTTTCTTTTTTAAATTTAATACCTATGGGAACTTTTTGGCCAAATTATGTCTGTTTTCACAAATTCTGTAATTATTTTTTGTGTATTGTTGCTTGGCGTATTTATAGTAGTATTTTTTCATTTAGTTTTGTGATTTTTTAATTGTGTTATCACTTCTAATGTGAAGCTTGTTATCAGTTTAGATAGAATCTTCTGAGAAAAAAACTACTAAAAATTAACCGTAACCAAACCTCCCCATTCAATAAGGTATGGTGGATATTATACCTGCCAACTCTTCCAGATTTTCCGGAAGATTTTATTTTCATATTTAAAGTGGTAGTAATTATATACTATTTTTTCTTTTATAATCTTAATTTTTAAATGATATTGATCACCACTATTCTTACAAATATTAAGCACAGATATTAATATGCGTTTTCTCAAATACAACGTATTTGTTTGCATAAAATTGAAGTTTTAATTCCATTTTAATACCACTGGGAAAAATGATAATGGAAGGGATTAAAAGTTGGCAGGTATGGGATATGAGTTCCCCCCCACCCCCTCCTTATTTTTACTTCGTTCATGTGCATGTTTATCAGAACTATTGCTGCATTTAACTGAATACTAAGTCAACAATTTTGTGGACCTTTGAGACCCTCAATTTTTGTTGAAACCACCTACTCAGTGTTTTTCTCCAGTGGTTTTAGGAAAATGAGAGTCCCAGGTTTTTGTCCCTATTTATATTAAATGTTTGTTTTCTTAATCTAATTTATAATAGTGAACATATTTTTTTCCTTCATAGTTTAATTTTTATATGTTATGTACTGTCTAATTCTACTGTATTAATTTTATCAATATGGGAAGTTTCTTTGTATATGTCTTCTAAATGTCTGGAGCCTTATATCTTCCTTTATATATCAACTAATAAATGAAGAAACAAGATATATGGTCCCAATAGTTTTGTTTATGAAAGCAGTCCAAGGTTGGTACTTCTTAATGCTAATTTTACTTATTTCATATTTTGCCATATTTCGATAATTTTTAAACGATATGAAGCATTTTTGCTCTTATTTATAAAATTCATTTATCTAAAGAAGTATGCAATAAAATTTCTTTTTTTTTTTGTAATTGCAAAGTATACAAATTTTTGCATCACTTTGAAGAATGTGATTCTATGTACCAAAATATCAAATTTGAAAAAAATCAGCAAATAGTTCCTGAAAAATCCCATTTTAAGCATCTGACTTTTTTAAAATTTGATTTCTTAAGAACTCTTTGACTGATTTTGTAATATAAAAATACATTCTTTAAAATAATGGCAGAATTTGTATTTCTTACAATTCAAAATTTCCCGGAATATTAAATCAAATAATTAAGGCTTTTAATTACTAAAAATCATTTTTTGCATCCATAATTGTCTTTAAATAAACAAGTTTTATATTTTTGTTTTGTTTTTAGTTTTATAATTTTTGTCAAAAATTTTTCATCGCACTTTAAATTTCTCAAGATATGACTATATGAGCTTAAAGTGACATTAAGAGGTCCACGGCTGCTCTCCTGACCGAACTTTTAGATCTGTTTTAAAAACTTAAAATATTGTCTGCACTAATTATCATATTTAAGGTCACACATTTAAACCATTAAGATTGAATCCTTGTACATGAAAATCTGATCTATAGGATAAAAAGTTATTTATGGTGTTTAGTTTTTTTATTCTGTACAAAATAAAAAAAAAAAAGATTAGTTTTGTACTGTATAAAACTAAACTAACAAAAAATATCTTGATTACATCTGTCATTTCAGCTCCACAAGCCTTTGAATCTTAGTTATCTAGTCTTAACCCACTTTCCCCTTTAACATTTTTAGTTATTGAACTATATATTTCTAAATAGGTAGATTTTTTTTATTTGCTCATAAATTGCTATTCTACTCATTTTTGTTTTGACAAATTTTACTTTTAAATTTTAGCTCTTAGACAAATTCGGACTTCTAGAAATGTGAAGCCCAGCGCAAGTTCCTCCATTAGATCAAATGATGGAAGCCTTGAAAATAAAGGTATAATAACTCTTAGTTGGAAATGAATAAATTTTGAGTATACTAGAATTGTTTAATATATTATATGAACCTCTTTAATAAAAACTAGTATTTCTTCCAAGTTTTGAATGATTATTTGTGGAGTTGTGTGCATATAGCTGTGGTGGCCCTAAGCTTTCCTTTTTCAAAACTGGGGTTCTATAATCCAGGGCTGATTAAGCTCCGGAAAAAATCTGGATTTTTCGCTACTAGTGATCCAGAAGTTTCCGGAGATCGAAGGTTCAGACGTTTCAAAAAACCATTGATCACAGAAGTTTTCGGAAATCAAATTTTCAAAGGTGGAACTTAAAAACACAGTTTATTTTATTTGTTTGTAAGGGAGAGCCAGATATATACTTTATAAGCTTATATTCATGATTAATATTCATTTTTTATCAGTAAATAATTGTTATAATCATAAAATCGAGAAAGAAAGACATATTTGTAAATTTTAATTACTTCTCCAGGTCATCGTAGGTATGTGTAAATGATATAGGTATGTGTAAAATTTTAAAAATATTTTAAGTAAACTAAGAAATATTGAGAAAAAGGAAGAAAAAAAACATGTTAAAATTTTTTTTCAATTTAAACTTTTCTTTTTTAACTCAAGAAATTTTCCAGAATTTTGACTTGGGCTCACAATCAACCCTGATAATCCCTAATGAGAGCTTCAGATATAAAGGTGTCAGTTAGTCCTTGAAAATTACTGCATCACATTGTCACCATTGAAATTGTGAAACCATAACCTCAATGACACTCCTCCCCATGACCAACAACTGCCTGTTGCGGTAGTGTTTATTTTATGTTTGCTTCATAGGCAATTGAAAAGGATATGTTTGTATCATTCTTTTTTTCTAATATGAAGAAGATAAAGGATGCTAATTTTTAATGAAAATTATCAACCATCACTATTTTTATTTATTAATTTATTTTTTTTTAATTTGAAACTTTGTTACAGGAATCTTAGTTTCAAAATAAAATTTGAGAATTTTCTAGAAATATGAGACAGATCAGGAAAATAACCTATCTTAAAATTCATAGTAATATAATAAGCAGCCAGTGTGGTTCAAAGTAAATAAATCTAACATATAATTGCAATTATTACTTAGAAAAATCTATCTCAGTGCTGTTAAAATACATTATTTATTAAAATATAATGTGGTTCAAAAACCCTTCTTTAATAATTTCTAATTATAACTTTTTTCTTAAATGTAACCGTTTATTCTGTTAAACAAAGCTATTCTCAAGGCTAAATTGCTTTAATTGTTTTTGTAAGTTTTGGTTCTTAATCGCAACTTCATGTGATGGCTATGCGATTGCTGTGACATTATTTTAATTTATTAATGCATGGATTTTATTAATAATAATACAGTGTGATTTTTTAAATTAAGTTCTTATTCAAAATATTGTTTAATTTATAAAATTATTTGTGTATTATAAAATCTACATGCACAACCTTTGCCTAGTGAAATTCTATTGTTACAAAATGTAATGAGCAACATATTTTCTATTTAAAAAGTAAGTTTCATCGCTTATTAAATAAAATTTCATTATGTACCCGATGAACTATTGCAGTGGATATCAGAAATGTGATTTAGAATTTTGTTGATATTTTCTGGTATAGTTGAGAAATTTTATTTCTGAACTTATGTTAAGAACTGAAATGCAACATAAACTTTTTTAAAGATTGAGTATGTTTCAAGTTGTTTTTGTGTGCTATGCTTGAGGATTTCAATTTACCTTTTTATTGTATTTTATTTTTAATTTATTTTGATATGGAAATTAAAATTATTCAAAAAATATTTTTCCTTCTCAAAGAAAATTAAAATTGTTGACAAAATTTTACAACAATAAAAATTATGTGTGTTTTTTATTCACGTGTACTGTATTTGGTATAAAGTATTTTCCCAAATTGATTGCCACTATACCCTTGGGTTCCATGTATTGAGGCAAAGGGTTCCATAGCTTTGTATTATATTAATTCTTTAATGATATATAACTGCATCTTTTTAAAAGGGGGGAAAAAATTCAAAATACAGTTCTGGATTATAAAATTCAGACCGCTATTTTCACGTATAAATTTTACTATTTATATGTGAATTGAAAAAGTTGTGAGGATTCTTAATTGCTTTGCTACTTCATATTAGCCTAATGCTGGTTTTTTAGTAGTTATTTTAGCAAAAGAGCATATATCACTCAAAATTAAGAATTGAAAAGGAAATGGGAGTAGCTATATCAAACTTTATTCCGCGATTGGATAAATTATGTGATGAACAGCAAACTCACCTATTGCACTCAATGAATTTATTATACTATAGTTAGTGTTTCATTGTCTTACTTATTTGAATATGCATGTTAATACAGTAAGACCTCGATCGATCGTTTCTTATGGGATCATTCGTTACAAACGATGGAGACATTAAGACCACGAATGCAGGTCAACATAAATTTTTTATCAAATAATTACTTGAAAAAGTGTGAAAAGTTATTAATTTATATAAATAATGAAAGACTAGCAAATTTTTACCAAAAGTATTAAAAATTTTATTTAAAAAATAATGCTGTTACTGCTAAAATATATCTAGAAATTTTAGTTTAAACGTACTCCTCCCCCCTTCTAAATGCAAGCGATAAATTTTCAACGTTTGTTACAGATTGCTGTGTGAATGTAGAAAGTTGCTCATTGTTGTTTCTAAGGCTTTAAGGCATCTTATGAAAGATGGCAGTGATTAAGGTTTTGCTTCACTATCTTCATCATTATCGTTAGCACTTTTTGACTTTCTGCAACCGTATTTTCAATCAACATATTATAAATTTCACTATTTTTATCAACTGATGCATGAACATCAAGGATAATACCTGAGGCATAATAACCAAGCTATATTCGATCCACATTTTCTTTATTTATCGTCAGGAGTTATCATTTTTCTTTTCAAAATAAAATCACTACAATTACTATTAAAATGTGGTAACATTTCTGAACAATAGAACCCGGAATTTTCTACCCTCAAAAACAATCTAAACACATATTAGCAACATTACAAAAATAGCATTTTGTGATGGACCAATTACCACTAGACGATACATTAAAGAAATTGAAAAATGCAAGAACTGTTCAGCATTATTATACTCCAAACAATCATTATATGAATGGGTGCCATGGTGCAATTTCTAATCCCTTAAAGGTGTTGCAACTTCAGAAAAATTGCAATTATTTGATATCGGAGCTTATGAAAGTGAATTGAGATCATAACCTACATTTTATTTTGCAGGGGTAAAACTGCGCTGTATATATAGTAGTATTTAAAAGAATAATGTAGTTAGTGTAGTGTGCATTAAAATAATTAGCTTAATTAATAAATTAATATATTTTTTTAATTTCTCATTGATAATGTTTACAAATACTATTTAAAACTACTAATTATTACTGAAAAAATAGTAAAAGTTATTGTTTTCAAGAAATATTTAATGTTCATGGCTGTTTTTTTACTATTACTTTTAATGGTTTCTATTTTCTACTCAGCCTTTTTGTAATTTTTATAATTATTGAAAACTCAAAATTTTGGTTACTAAGGCACGTAAGGGAGAAATTTTTAAGTATGGCACTTTAAAGATGTCCAAAGTTTAAAATAAATTAATTTCAACTTTAATTATTTTTAGCATTTGATATATAAAATGTTTGTATTTAAAATCATACAGAAATGTTTTGGTTATGATTTATACAGGAAAGTATGAAGAAAAAAGTATTTTGTTACATTGTAAAAAGAAAAATTAAATATGTTTTGGTTTGGGAAATAGGTTGAACTTCTCCCATCACGCATGAAATTTTCGCCGTAGTTACTCTTTTGCTTAGAAACGCTTCCTAATAAACATGTATTTTCCAAGCAAAAAAAATCTTTTTATACATTTTATTTAATTCTGCATTTTTCTAAAGTAATTGTTCATATAAAGCGTTTATCCCTGTAATAATTTTTTCATTTTTATTTCAGCCTCACTAAATCTACCGGATAATCTAGAAATCATTGAGGTAAAAAAAGTTTTTGTGAAGCTTTATGAACTGATATATTTATTCATTAAATATATCATTCATGTTATGTTTATATATTCACCATATATATATATTGATAAAATATATTCTACTACTTACAAAACAAAACTTTATTCTAAGTTATAGCTGAGGCAGAAGTTTTGTTTTAACTTGGCTAATCATTTGTCTGTCTTATTTTGTTGATTTGTTTATTTTGTTATATGAACTTTGGTTTCTCTTTTGTTTTGTTTGTAAAGAAGTGCATTTTTTACTATGTATATTTACTTAGTTTTTAAAATTCGAACTTATATGTAATTCTCAGTATCTTTAGATGAGCCTAAAAAATGTTGTAAGCACTCTTTTGCCTTACTGCAAAGTAAAGCAAAAAATCTGATTTTTTAAAAAAAAAATTTTAGCTTTGAAAAAAAAAGTTTTTGCCATTTATTGTTATTTCATTGTAACATTTTAAAATAAATTGTTCTAAGAAAAAATTGATCTTATTATTATCCAGTTAGAGTTATGAATTTCAGAATATTTTCTGGTTCCAAAAATTTTCTGAAATTTATAATTCTAACTGGATTTTATTAATAATAATAAAAAAAACTGATACTTAAATATGCAATTAAAAAAAAATGTTTACAACATATTTTTTTCACAAACTTTAAGTGTGGAATTTTCTCTCTGAAAGTTTCTTTCATTAACTGTGAAACATCAATTTTAAATTGTAATGGAAAAATACTTTAATTAGATAAATTTTAAATGCTGGTATTCTGTTAAGAAAGCTCAATTTATTATTTTTAAACATGAACCTTACAAAATGAATCATGCCATTTATAACAAACTAATAGCCATTTTTCAATTTTACATTTGTTAATTATTTGCAGGTTACTTCTGACTCTTTAGACCAACAAAAAGCTGCAAATAGAAAAGTAACTTATGGTGCTCAATCCAAAAATAGATTGCACCCCAAACATAGCATTGCACCAAATGAATCTTTGGATTCTGATCCTAAATCAAAAGATAGATTATACCAAACATTTGATACCGAATATCCTTCTTCAAATAAGGAAATTGAATTGCAAGTTTCAAGGCTTAATGAGCTTTCTTTAATTGACAAAAATTATCATTGTGAGAATGACTCAAATTTAACTTTTGAAACTCAAATTAAGTCAGAAGAAGAAAACAGACAAGCGACATATTTTAAATCATATCAGACTAAACAATCTTTTGGAAAAGATAAAAACAATAATGATGGGGGTAGATCGATATTTTGGGAAAAGGAAAGCAATACTGGTAATAGCAACTCAATATATAATGAGGAACAAAACAATGATAAAATTGATTTTTTTAGGGAAAATGTAAATAATAGTAATAAAAGCATCTCCATGTTTAGGGAGAATGAAAGTCATAAAGATATTTTTTCTTCTGATGAAGACTGTAGCTCACAAATACACTGTTCTAATGCCTATGAATGTAATAAAATATTTAAAGACAGTTCATCGGTTTCAAAACAACACACCTTATCTCTAAATGAACTGTGTACTCGCAAGGAACATAAGGAGCCTTCCAAACCCGGGGTCAAGCATGTATCAGTAAATAAAAGCAAATATTTTGTACCCCAAAACTTTTTGGGTAAAATTTATGATTTTCCTGTCCATCATTCTAAAGATACTTCACATTTATTATCTACTCAGAATGTTTCTAAAAATAGTCTGATCAAAAATTCTTCCCTATCCACTATACTCCCTAAGCATTTTTATAAAAGTAATGTGAAACAAGGCAATTCTGGTTTATCAAATAATCATAAATGTTTTGCCGGTAAAGCTCCTGCAACAAACCAAATTTTCAACTACAGAAAAGAAATTGAATTCGAAGAACTTTCTGACGAGACATTGGGAAAAAAGTGTGATAGTGTGTCATCCAAAGGACACCATGTCCTCTTGAGTGAAATATTTGGTCCACCACAAAATTTTGACAATAGTTTTTTAGAAAAGCCTGTTGATAGTTTTCAAGACAATTTAAAATGTAAACAAGATATTGTTCAAAAAGATATAGTCACTGTTAACAATAAGTATTGCAATGCTTTGTCTGATGAGCTTCTTTCTAATAACTGCAAAAAGGAAAAAGTGTCTGTACCGCAGAAAACAGATTTTTGTTCATCCTATTCTGTTCCTCTATGCTTAAGAAATCCTTCAAAATATCATTCATTTAAAAAATATACTGTAGATTCAACGAAAGGCTCTGTTCAGCATTTTGAGAATGATGCTTCTCATAAGATTAATCCAATGACCTTGAAAAGTTATTCTAGTCCCTTAAATGAGATAATTTATCCAGAGTCTCAGAGTTCTAAAACTGCAGTAACTATATCAAAAAGTTCACTTAGGCAGCTGAAAAGTTCTTCATTAGAATGTCTTGAACAAAAGTACACTAATACTAATCATTCTAACGATGTACATCAAATTTCTAATTCTGAAATCGACTATGATAAAAATATGTACAAACAGACTCAGCCTTTAAGCAAATGTGATACTTACTACTCGTGCTCAACCAAATGTGCACCTTTATATGTTAGTCATTCATTAACAGACAAACAAGTGCCATTATCCTCTGTAAGGAATGAATCTGCTTGTATTTTTAACTTAAAAGATAAGGATATGAAGATAAGCAAAGATTTCGATTCCAGTACTGCTAGTCATTCATCGTCACCCAAATATGTGTCTTTGTCCTCCGACTGCAGGATAAGGAATAAAGAAGCAGTTGGTACAGAACAAATATTCTCATCGACTCATTCATTGTTGTCTGAATGTAGTGAAGAACCTCGATATTGTGATACTTACTACTCGTCTGCAGCCAAATATATGCCATTGTCATCTAACTATGCAATGAATAAAGAATATGCTGGTGCATTTAACTCAAAACAGATGACAGCACAAGTGGAAAATTCTAGTCATTCATTTCTAGACAAAAATCCGTCATTATCTTCAGTAATGAATGAATGTGCATTTAACTCGAAACATAGGGCAATGAAGGTACATGAAGATTCAGATTCCAGTACCTCTAGTTGTTCATTGTCACAAAAATATGTGCCTTTATCCTCAGTAATGAATGAATGTGCAAAACAAAGTGCAAATAAGGTAAATAGTGATTCTGATTCCAGTACTTCTAGTCGTTCCTCGTCACACAAATATGTGCCTTTTTCCTCACACTGCTTAATGATGAATAAAAAAGTAGCTGGTACAAAACAGATAACAGTAAAAAATGCTTCTAGTCAACCATTGCTGTTTTCTGGATTTGGTGAAGAACTTCAACATTTAAGTGATGTTGCTTCAGATTCTTCCTCAAGTGGACATGATTTACAGATATGTGATAATTCCTTTAGGAAACTTACCACCGACACAATCTCTTTTCAAGAATACATGAAACAAGAGGACTTTGCTATTAAATGCAATACTGATTTTATAGTGCCATCAAAGTTTTCCTATGATTCAAATGGTGATTTACCTCTCTCAAGTTCAGTGTTGGAAGTTGTACCTGATCTTCTCATTGGAACCTGTCTTGTAGATCCTTCTGATTGACTGATTGATTTTAATCTAGCTATATCTTCCAATAACAGTGTTGGAAGTTGTACCTGATCTTCTCATTGGAACCTGTCTTGTAGATCCTTCTGATTGACTGATTGATTTTAATCTAGCTATATCTTCCAATAACTTCATTGCCGATAAGGTTTGGCATAGTTCAGTATTTTGCTTGACATCATGGTGGATTTCTACTTGTATTGTTATTTTATAACTTAAGCCTATTTTTATTTTTATTGTTTTTTGCATTTTTATACATTATATTGTGATACAGGTATATTCAGGAATGAATGATAGTTTTGCATTACTTTACTTTTGTAATTGCATTGTTGGGTCTTGTGAAGTAAATACAAGGACACACATAAAATACCTTTACTGTCATTCAAAGTTATCATCATTAGCCATAATTAACTTTTGTCATAGATTGTCCAGCTGCTGGAACTAATAAAAAAAACAATTCTTTTCATATTCCTTGGCACACTGTTGAAATCCTTAACATCTTCCATTTAGTCTCTAAAATGTCTTGTATTAAAATAACTTTAAATACCACTTTTTATTTAATGTTTTAACTGTTACATTTTCACTAACATTTCATGTGTCACCACTGCAGATTGACCAAACTGAAGCTTGGGTTTTTTTTTTTAATCAGAAAATTCCTAAACAAATATAATAACATTTTAGAAAGGTTATTTTTTCCCCTTCGGATTATTAAAGTTGATAGTCTAGAAATAAAGTTGCTTCATAAAGATACATATTATACATTTTTGTGTAATGAATTATTATTTTTAACTGAAAATTTGTCATTTGCTTTAAATTTTAAGATATCATCGGCTAGTATCATTTACAAAATTTGAGATTTGTTTATCTATATGTTGTGTATCTACAATCAGCTTTACTAAATATCTTATACTTAATTTTATATTTTTCAGTATTTTTTTATTTATTCTTTATTATTTTTTATTTATTTTTTAGTTGGTCATTGTCTTAATTATTAATTAGAGATTTTTTTAAGTTTAATCTCACATTTATCATCTTATATCATTTTGTTTAAATTAGTTGACTAATCTAATTTTGAATACATTACGTTTATACTTGACTATTAATATATTGTATACTTTAAAAAAAAATTTCTTTCAATATTTTATTACAAAATTGCTTTTACTCTTTATAATTTGATCTTTATGTAGTCATTTTTTAAAAGTATCTCCAGTTATTTGATTTAATTTACTTTCTATGTTCAAAATCATTACAACAATGTAAGTGTTGTTTTAGCTCTGTTTTAAAAATTTCAAATAACATAAATCTTGAAATTTATAATTATACTTTAAATTTCCCAATTTCATTACCACAATGCAACTTGCGAAGTTTAAATTAACACCCCTCTCCTTTTTTTCCCCCATTCTATATTTTTATGAGTATTTCAAAGTTTCATTACAGTCTGTGCTTATTTGTTTTTGAAAATAAAACATTTTCTCATACTATAAGTAGTATTTTTTTCTTTTGTATGCAGCTCATAGCTGTTTATTAAAAACTTTTCAATAATATTATATAAATGTACAGTATTTTGAAGTAGTAATATTAAATTATGCTTAGTCTATTTTTGCTATCTAAAGTATAAAATAATGCACTCAGATGCTTGAAAGTCAAATGCATATACTTTCAACCATTATAATTGTTTAGTGCAGAATTTATTGAATCTTATAGTATTGGTTGTAGAAATGTTGATTTACTAGTGTATAATTATGCATATTCTGGAGTATTTATTGTTATTTAAAATATGATTTTTGTTCTATGTATATATTTAACAAAATGTAGTCAGGATATTTTATTCAAAATCGTTAAAATACATTTGTACTTAATTTTGTGTTTATACCTGAAAAAAAAAAAAAAAGATTTATTCTGGAATATTTGTTTTCATTAGGAAGTATATTTTTTAAATGTTTGAAAGTTTTTGTTTTAATATTGATTACTAGTGTATAATTATGCTTATTCTGGTGTATTTGTTATCTAATGTGGAGTTTTTAAAAGTTTAAAAATTGAATGAATGTAAATAATTAACAATATATAAACAGGATTTTTTTTTTTAACTCAGAATTATAGAAATATATTTCTGCTGGTTGTTAACATACTGTGAAAAATTATACTTATTCTAGAGTTTTTGTTGTTTTTCTACAGCTTAATTTTTAAATATTTGAAAGTCAAATTAACAAGTAGTCAGCATTTTTTTTTCCTTAATTATTAAATCATGCTCTTACTGATTGCTGAAATATTGTTATACCTGTGTAAGATTATGTTTATTCTGGAGTATTATAGTTGTTGGAAATTTTTTAATATTCTGATGTCAAACAGTTTTGTCTATCTTTTAAGTCAGAAGAAATATCAAGTATATCACCTGCAAAATACTTTAATCTTATCTTTTTTTTATTATTATTTATGTTAGAGATGTTTGCTTATAAAACAATTACAATGTATCGATATTTATACAGTATCTCTCGATTACTTTGCACAGTTTTTCTCATTTTTATCACTTGTTAAGATCATCAATAGTTTTAATAAAATAATTTCAGTGATTTTAAGGCGAATCGCCGTTTAACAGTCTGTTAGATAATGGTGTCTATCTAAAGAGGATATTTTTTTTGGAAATTTTTCCTCTTTTGCACAAAAAATTTCATTTAAGGACTGTCACATTTTTTTTTTACTTTGGTTTTTAAATTATTATTATTATTGTGGTCTACTTTGCATTAACTTCTACATCGCTTATTCTCTCTATTTCAAAATTAATAAATTTAACTGTTTGGTTTAGTTGCGACAATTGGAAGTGTGTTATCAACTCATTCTTATTTCTTTTTCAAAATTTGCCTAATTTTTGTAATAGTTTCGCCTTTCTTACTGAACATTTGTCAGATTACAATAAAAAAAAAAAATTTCCCCCGCATATGCTTTTATTTTTCCATTTCATTTTTGACAAGGATATTTTATATATATTAAGGGGGATCAGTACTGAACACCCTGTAATTATGTATATTTTGACTTGTCAGTATGCATAAAAATGATATATTTAAGAGATTTGATATCTATTGAATCCATGGGTGCAAGTCTTCCGTCCCCAGGACGGATTTCCGTCTTTCGAAAATGTCCGTGGACGGAAGTAAGACAGAAACAAAACTGACTCGAAGACGGAAATCAGATTTTTTTTTTATGTCCTTAAAATTATATTTTAGGTTTACTTTCTTATGTCCTGTTGTAATTTTATCAAAAGACAGATGAATAAATATTTTTTGTACAGTATTTAAACTTGATGTATTATGGTAAAGCTTTCTTAGATAGTTTGCATATGTCGAGGGGGTATTGCGTATGTTAGGTATTTCAGTCAAAAAATTTTCAGTCTTGGCCTTTTTTCCAACTTGCACCCATGATTGAATCTAAAAAAAACTGATCTATATTTGCTGCTTCTTTACTTTAAAAAAATAGTTATGGTTTTTAAAGTGCAGGTACCATAGTATTATACAACATTTCTTTCAACTGACTGCTTATGGAACAATTATATTGCGCTAAACTTCATAAAATTTATCTTAACTTTTTTAAAACAGTCTTATGTAATGTGTATGCTTGTGCAATTCAAGTTGTTTAACATCTTTTAAACAGTTGCTTACGAAACATTTACTATGTGCTGAGATATGTAACATCACCCATTAAATTGTTTTTATTTAGCTTCTTAATCTTATGTGTGATTGTTTGTGATAATCAATGCAATTAAGTTGCAAAACAAATTGTTTTGAGGATCTGTCAATGTTTATATGTCAGATCTAAGGTTGCTGTGATATAATAAAAAGTAAAAAACTAATTCTTTTGGTGATTTTAATTATGTTTTGGGAGATTGTGTATTTTTATTTATTTAGTTGTTAGAATTTTGATTCACTACATGCGTTTTCTTAAAAAAGGACATTAGTTATGATGTACCTCAGAAAAAGAATTTTTGCGTAATACATATTCCATGCAAAATAATCATACCAATTCTGGTAACAAACAGTTTGAGTAGTAAAATTGCTAATTGTGATCTTAGTATATAAAATCAAAATAACTTCAACTTCTAAACTATTAATTATTAGGTCTAATTTGATTCAATGTATAAGGCCTCGCGTCGGAACTTTTTAAATTTCCAAGATTTGACCATCTTTCAAGTTTTATTGTACTGTTGATGATCGAATGGGCTACAGTTGGTGCAGAGCTGATTTTTCTACCTATAATACCACGTCGCATTTTTTCGCCATTAGCGTGTGGATAGTCAGGAGAAAGGAGTACGTTAGTTTTTGTCATCATTTTCAAGTAGATTAAAAACTTCTTGGAACTAAAAGCTGCATTAAACATTGTCCTAAAAGAAAGCGTTGTGGAAATTTTAGAAAATATTAATGATAATTAAATTCGAGAAATTATTATGGAATGAGGAAATGTGATATTTTCCAATACAACTTGAGAAGAAAGGAGGGTCAAGGCATGGAATCGGTCTTCTCCCTAGTTGGCATGTTCGAGTGTTGCGATCGCGTGTACCATCTTCACTAATTACCGATTCAACGTTTCGAACGAGTTTGATCTGGTTACATAATCTACTCTATATGCCAGAACGAGACATTTCTCTACCCGTAACCCAGACCGAAAGCACTAATGTATTTTGTCTTTTCATGTGTGCAAGGATAGGTGGTGCTTAGAGGCATTAGTTTCTTCCTTTGAAGAGGGAATACTTAGTTCATTTTCTGAAATAGGGTACAATGCTGAGTCATGTAACTAGCATAATTAAAATTTGTTGGTGATGGGCTGATCTTTAGTTAAAATCCCCTTGCCTCTTCTAACGCAAATGGAGGTTTGTTTCATCAAAAAGTCCTTCATGAAGACTAGTTTGTCTATTGCTTGAACCAAAAGTCCCAATGTCTTCTGGGTTAGGTTCAAAATTACTAGACTACATATAAAGAAGTTAAGAGGGAGCATCCGTTTCCGAAAGAGACAGTTTCTACACCTCAAATCGCCGAACTAGTTTTGATAACGTGGTTGGGAGGCACTTCTTTCGACTGTGGTAAGATTTTACATGGTTCTATGGTATTTAATTAAAAGCCTCGCTTAAAAATGGTTAAATATACTGTTCTGCCTTCAAAATAAAAATTCATTTCATGATATGTGACGTTTCACTGCAAAATCTATTTCTTTATTATTTTTAGTTTATACGTATTTCATTTTTTCTTTCTTTCGAAACTGGCGATTTTCACTGCGAATTTAAATAATTGATCTTAATTAAACTGGGGATGAATAATCCATAAAAATATTTAGGAACGTTATTTTATTTAAATTGTTTTAGTTTATATCATCTTAAAATTAAAAAAAAAAACAAAAGATAATGAATATTAAATTAGTTATCTATTATATCTATATTCTTAACTTTTTTTATTTTGTCTAATTAAACTACTTTTTAAACAGAAATGTTTTTTGTTTTTAGAAATGTATTTTTCTTTTTCAAATAAAACAGTTTATTTAATACTTAATTTTTATTTCCAGTCCAGCCTTACAGAAATAACATACTTATTAATTCAGACAAAAAAAAATCAGCCTTACACTCTTAAACCAATAATTATAAATCAAAAATATTTGTACATTCAGACTTAATTGACAGAGGAGAAAGCAAAAAACGAGGTAGAGCTTTGATTGCCATAATTTCACAATTTCAAAGCCGCGCGCCAAATGTTTAAAGTTTTGCAAACCTGTCACGCGATACATGTAGGACCCCACTTCTTTCCACTGAATGGATTGTAATGTTAGAGCCGACCACAGTGCTGACATAAAATATCCCCGTGGTAGACGGATCATGGGTTAGAGTCCCCTTGCTGTCAGGCTAACCGCTGGAGGTTGTGGTTTTCTACTCCATGTGACACAAATACGCGCTAGTTCCATTAAAAAGTCCTCCACGAAAGCAAACTTCTTCCAATACTTAATCTAGGAGTTCCTTTGTCTTCTGGTTTGGGTTCGAAATTACTAGACTACGGAGTTGAATTTTGGCAGTTGTAAACTCAGAATTGGGTCGGCTGTACGACGCCGGTTATAAAATAAAGTAACGCAGTAAACTGAAAAATAAATATACCCCTCTGAATAAATTTCGATCTCATGATCATATTTTTAAGTACTAAAGTTCAATTTAATGGTTCGAAAGGTGGAAATAAGTGATTCTGATTAAATTTCTAATTACTGTTTCTAATTAAGTTATAAAATCTGACACAAAAATGTGCTTTATCTAAGTTGAAATTGTTTTCTCTCAATAGGTTAAGATTTTCGACAATTAAAATAGTAGGGAGTTGAAGACTTGAAAGTGTGATCTCGGTAATTAAGTCAGAAGAATATAAGTTTGCTCCCGTTTATTTTGTAGCACTTACTTCAGTTTCCCATAATATCACTGTAATTTAATTATTAAATGACTAAAATTTGTTTGCACTATTTCTATTATGTCACTAAAATTATGAAATGGCTAAAAAAAAAAAATTTCGCATTATGTTCATTATATCACTGAAATTATGAAATGACTAAAGAATATTTTTGCACTATTTTCATTATAACACTGAAATTACTGACTAAAATAATTTTTTTATATTATTTCCATTATATAACCGAAATTGAGTAAAATAATTTTTTTTGCACTTTATACATTACACTGAAATTATTGACAAAAATACCCCCCCCTCCATTTTTTTCATTATACCATTAAAATTATTAAATGACAGAAAAAGATTTTTTTTAAAACTCATTTATCCAATTGTTATTTCATGCAAAAAATTTTAAAAATTATTGATTATTTAATTTCAATATGGTAAAAAAAAATTATGAATTGATAAGTATTAAAGTTTTTACATAACCTTGTAATAATTGTAAACCAAAATTGAAATAAAATCAATTTTAAATATTTCAACAAATAAAATTTGTTAAAAGTTAAATAGATTGCATTGTAACTACTCAATCGAATTTATTCTAATAAAATTAAAGTGAATTGGCTAATGAAATTGAAGTTGTTTCATCATATTGTTTTATCAATACTAGTCTTAGAATTGGGTTTTACATCAGAAGTTGAATTGATTGGTCTGCTTTATTGTCTAGCTCTTAATTTGATATTAATGCATGCATAAACTGAAAACGAATTAACTGAAATATGATTTCATTAAAACAAAATAGGAAAAGGAAAAAGATAAACGTTGAACATAGCTATGAGGTTAACATATTTCTTCCTTGTTGAATTTGGTTATTTTTATTTAATGCGAAATACTAATGGAATTTTTCATGAATGCATAACCTTTTCTTAATTCATTCATTACATTGTTAATAGAAAATCATTGTTAAGAAATTTCGTTCTTTTAAAATATTTCAATTAAATAATTTCATAGAAAACGGAAATATTGAATTTAAAGAAATAGATTATTAATGGGATATAAGTTTAATTACAGGTTTAGAAAATCATGACTGATTAAAAAAAATCCTGATCATCAGAACCCCCGTAACCCTTCCACGGAACCCTAGGGTTCTGCGGTTTAGGACTCTTAAAAACTATGATAATAGCATTGTAAGAGATATAAAAGTCAAAAAGTATAAAATCTGAAAAGTTCCTTCCTATATGTAAACTATATATTTAGCCTAATTAATTAAAATTATATAATAACAATGGGACATGTTTAATTATATTTATTTCGGTCATTAAATTCACATTATTTGTACAGCGAGCATCACCAGTTTGTGTTTCACATTTTTGATTTGCAATCTTAAAAAAAAAAAAATTATCCGGTGTTTTTTTTTAATATTTTGACATTTATTATGTAAAAGAACTGGTTAAAAATTTCAATTTCCTTATGAGTAATTGGTTGAAAATTTAAAAATTTTCAATCCGTTTATGATCCGACTTCTTTTTTTGATCATTACTCCCATTCCCTCTCTAAATTCTTCCTTTCCCAAATGGCATAAATTCGAACCCAAAACAAGCGAGGCACAATAAAGACAACAAACATCAGTAGAGGGTGAAAAACTTGGAAAGAAAGGTGCAAATCCCTCAGTGTTATAGGTCA